TGTTGACTGGTGAGGCTGAGCCCTCAAGGTAGTGATGCCAGGTCTGGAATGCTTCAAAGATTGCAAGCAATTCCTTATCGTGGGTATCATAGTTCAACTCCAGGGCAGTCAGAGTGCAGGAGTAGAAGGCAACTGGATGCACATGGCCATCACTGCAGGTGATAGAAAGAATGCCAGTGATGGCATAGTCCAATGCATCAGTCTCAACAGTGATGGGGACCCTGGGAATGAAATGAGTTAAAACTGGCACAGTGGTGAAGGCAGCCTTGAGGTTATTGAATGATCAGTGGCACTCCTTGGAGAAGTTCCAAGGGGTGCCCTTGCAGGTAAGCCAAGTCAATGGTATGATGATGTCCAAGTAGTTGAAGATGAAATGGTGATAGAAATTTGTGAAGCCGAGGAAAGATTGGATGTCCTTGACCCTGTGGGGCTTGGGCCAATCACAGATGGTCTGGACCTTTTCCTTTGACATTGTGAGGCCAGAAGGGGAAAGGTGGAAACTTGGTATTCAACTGAGTCTGAGTGGAACTCACATTTCTCTGGCTTCACATACAGGCCATGAAGCTGAAGCTGGCAGAGGACCTCTCAGACATGCTGCTTATGGGACTCCTTATCTCTGGAGTAGATTAGGATATTGTCCAGGTAGACAACCACACAGACATCCAACATGTCTGCAAAGATGGTATTCATGAAGCATTGGAAGGCAGCCAGGGCATTACCAGCCACTTGTAGGATCCATACCGAGTCTGAAAGGTGGTCTTCCATTCATCACCCAGGGCAATCCAGATGAGATGGTAGGCATGCCAAAGATCAATCTTGGTATAGATCTTGGCTTGGCTTGGTGAATCTAAAAGGTTGGAGATGAGTGGGAGTGGGCAGTGGTCCTTCTTAGTGATTTTGTTGAGGCTGCAGAAGTCTACACAGAGCCAGAGGGAGCTGTCCATTTTTTTGACAAAGAGGACTGGTGCAGCATAAGGGGAAGAGGTCGGACAAATGAAGCCAGTGGTGATGTTTTTGTCAATGAAAGTCTGGAGAGCTTGCAGCTCAACCTGGGACAGCAAGTAGATGGTGCCTAATGGCGGTGTTGTTCCTTCTTCGAGCTCTATTTTCAGGTCATACTCCTGGTGTGGCAGGAGTGCTGAGGCCTCAGCCTTGCTGATCACATCATCAAAGTCATGGTACTCTTCTGGTACATTGGGTAAGGCTGGAGGAGGGGAAGCTGAGGCCAATCGAGCTTGAACTGAGTCCAAGGGGTGGAGCTGAAGTTGGAACTGGACAAACCCTTCTAGTTTGCAGGCATGCATGAAGGTGGCTGCATTGATTAGGGAAACAAGAGGGGCTTTCAGGGGGGTGTGAGCTGGGGAGTTGGAGACCAGTACAGATGGCACAAGGCTGGGTTGGTCACTAGGACTGGAGTTAGGAAGGCCAGGGGAAACCAGGCTTACAGGGGGTGTCAATGGGGTTGGTATTCCTTGTGCAGGAGTCCAGAATGTTAGACTGCTCAGTACCCAATCAATCAACAGATTGTAGCAGGTGAGCCAGTCATGTCTGAGGACTATCTTACACTCAGAATCCAATGGGGCTAAAAACAGGGTTACTGGGGTGACATTGCTGGATGTAAAGCAGATATTGACATCTACTGCTTGGGTTATAGTAAAGGTGGACATTCCATTGAAGAGCTGGAGTCAGATTGGGGAGACTGAGTATGGGGTAAACAAGTGTTGATTAACAAATTGATTATCTATAAAACAATGAGTGGAACTGGAGTCCACTAAAGTACAAAGCTAAGGTAATTCTGGATTTTCTAATGTGACATATGGGGTTAAAGAGTTTGGACTGGAAAGAGTAGACATGTTGAGATGGCACCTCCAAGTTTGCACAACCAGAGTCAACACAGCTCCCAGATTGTGCAGAGTCCTGGGAGCTGCTACCTATTTTTTTGTCTCAGGGGTAGAACCTGAGCCTGAGGCCAGTGTGGCTTCAGTGGTAGCTGCAGCACAAGCTTTGGCCTTAACAGCTTTCTTGGGGCATTTGTCAGTGAAATGACTGGACCCTCCACAGAACATGCAGAGGTTCCTGTCCATGTGATGCTTGCATTCATTGGGGGTGAGTTTTCCATCCTTGCTGAGTTTGCCAGACTCAGGCTTGGATGAATTGCTGTTATTGTTGTTGCCCAGCTTAGACTGCATAGAACCAGTATTGTTGCTACTGCTGGTCTTGGCTTTCTCTTGGCTGGTCTTGGACTGGTTGTTGCTGCCAGAGCCTCCAGACTTATTGTTGCTGGAGGTGGATGAGTCCTGATGCTTACTCACCTGTTGGACTTCTTCTTTGCGCTCCCAATAGCACGCATCTATCTCTTGGGCAAGGTGGCAGAGCTCATGAAGAGTCTGGGGCTTGCCAACCTGACAGACCTCATCTTTGATTTGGTCTGGGAGGCTAGAGTGAAAGTGATGGTGCAGTGCACCATCACTGTAGCCTTGGACTTGCAAAGCAAGCCAATTGAAGTCCGCTACATATTTATTAATGTGCTGACTATCCTTCATATGTAAATGGTCAAGCTGACTCTTGGCATCAGCAACTGGGTCATGGGGGCCAAAGGTAGTTTGTAACTCTAGGATGAACTCCCTCCAGGAGTCCATCCAGAGAGGTCAGTCATTGGGGTCATCAAGTCCAAGCAAGTCTGGCTTGAACCACTCAAGAGCCATGCCCTTGAGGTAAGACTGTGCAAAGATGACTTTGGCATGGTCAGTCCTGAATGCCCAGGGTTGGTCTTGGAAATTAAGCTTGCACTGGATAAAGAAGGCACAAAGCTTCTTGGGGTCAGTACCATCGAAGGTATCAGGCTCATGCAACTTGGTCCTGCTCAAGGACTCAGGACTAGTGCAAGTGTTGCAGGCCAGTAGCTTGATGGCCTTTGCAAGGCTGTCAAAGACTGCAACCATGGGTTCAGTATCCAGGTCTGGGAAGTCCAGTTCATCCTCTGGGTCATTCCCATCTGGGTTATCATCACCAGGCCCATCATCACCAGGACCATTGCTGGGGTCATCATCATCAGGATTGTTGTCATAATCATCACCTGGCCCAACATTGCTGGGGTCATCCTCAGGGATGGGAGCAGTGGGACAATGTGGGGTGGGAGTATTGGATGTCCAGGCTGAAAAGCCCCTGAAAGGACTAATGGGATCTGGGGAGTGCCTAGTGGTGCCCAAGGCAGCTAGTGCTGTCTCACAGTGAGTTCCACTGACTGATGTGGAGTTGGGGTTGGTGGCAGAGTGGCCATAGGGAGGTTGGAAACAAGTCTTGGTTGCCATGATATGTTAGACCCACACAAGTGGCAAGTCTGAAATACTGTCAAGTTCAGGTTGTCCAGGTTGAGGCTGGACTGGAGACCAAAGCAGGTGTGAGACCAAGGGGTTGGGATCAAAGGAAAGACAAGGATACAGAGGGGTGGACTGATTGGACTTAGCAACTGGTGATGCAGTGCTATTCCCTTGCATGGGTCACAGTCTGAGTCCAAGGCTGAGGCAGGGTTATCAGAGTAACTTAGTTGGTTTCAGACTGACTCCATACAGGCTGAGTATCTACAGGTTTATATACTAGAGACAACTATAGTACAGAGACTGGTAATGCCAGTCTTGCAAAGATTGCTAAGATGATTGGTAAGACAAGTATTAGTAATTTATGACAAAGACAACAGAGACCAGGACAGGGCGGACCAGGGACAAGACCAGGCAGGGCTTAACTGAAGTGACACACACCACAAAGCAGTGTTCACTGTGCTAGACTAACTGGAGATATGGGATTGGCAAGGCCAAGGCCAGACTGAATGAACACAAGGCTGAGTCCAGCTGGGGTTGAGACATGACTATGACAGATGTCTGGTTCCATGGATTTCACATTCCTATCTCACACATAGCAGTTTGCACCTAAATTCAATCTGTATTTATGATAGGGTATGCTATCAGATTGAATATGCATAGGTGTGAGGAGAAAATGAATGGTCTTGTAAGGGTATTGTAGTTACAATGGTAACAAAAAGACCATGGTGGATAACAGATGAAATGAATGATGGCAGACATTACACAAAGCAAGGATATGCAGGGGGAAGATGATACAGCCACAGGGTATCATAGTTACATGCTAATGATGCAAACATGTTGAACTGGTGTGTACATGAGCCAGTAGCAAGTGATTGATCAAGATGAAAACATGCCTAGTAGTGGTTGCATCAATCATGGGTGTGATAGGAATGTCCATCAGAGTCATCAGAGTCATGATGATGATGTCTCTTGTGGGGAGGGCTTAGATAAACCACACTGTGCATGTTAGTCTCATTGTACATGTAGGCTACCCAGCAACATACCTTCAGTGAGTTCTTCCCTGTTGTGAAGGACCACCATGATCACACTCATTGTCCTGATATCCTCTATAGCACTTGTGTGACTCATGCCAAGGGTGATGGCAAGGACATGGGGTCAGAGAGTAGTTATCAGAAGGGGGGTGATGATGATATGCAGCTGCTGGAGCAAGATATGTGTGATGGTCACCATGCAACAATGGACCTTGTGGAGATGACTGCAGTGACTCCTCAACAGGGGATGAAGGAGGGAGAGGGGAGTGGTGGGATGCTGGCTGAGTGGAATGAGGTCCATAGGATGGCAATTGCCCTTGCCTCAAGTGGTGTGATCCTGCAGGAGAGGGGTGACATGTGCAGGATGGTGATTGCTGTCATCAGGTGTGGTGGGATGTTGAGGGAGACACATGGTGCTGCACAGGTGGCTGGGGTAATCTATAAGCTGGGGATAAAGAAGGCACAGTCATATGGTGGGTGTTGGATGCTGCTGGCAAGGGGTGACATCTGTTGGATGGCACTCATCCTTGCACAGGTTGGTCAGGGAAAGATGAAGGGGCACTTCTCTCTTTAAACTTGTCACCTTTAGGGAGGGCCTTAATGAATGCATCTGAATCAGAAAGAACATGGAGGTGCTGGTTCAATGTGTTCACCACAAGCAGGATGTCACACATCCTTGCATCACTGTGGTGAAATAGCTCAATCTGATCTGGATTATTCATGTCAGTGAGGGTGACCATTTCGTGTCAACAACTCACCATCTGTCCACTTCTTGAGGTAAAATGATGAATTCAGCAAAGGGACAAGGTATTCAGCTTGGTCTTCTTCATCATCTAGTGGGGCCTCAGCATGGTAATCTGCACCCATTGACTCTTTCAGGAAAGGAACAGTCAGAGCACAAAGTTCATCAGCATTGAGGCATTTGACATTGAAATCTGGACCAACAGCAGGGACTCCAGCAGGTCAATCAGTGATGGTATACTGGTGAACATACAGCAGATCAAGCAACAAATTCCAAGAAACATTTCTCTGGCCTCATGTGATACCATTCTCTTCTGTGGCAGCACTTCAGAGGATGAATATGAATCAAATAGATTTATTGATGTATGGAATTTATGGAGTATGATTGTAGGTAAAACTCACTGATTGCAATCACACCTGTATTCTTGAGGTTTTAATCCCAGTGCACAGTCATAACAGGGTTGTGACAGCACATTAAAGTCAGGAAGAGGCACTGAAGCAGCAGAGTTAAGGATTTTATACCTAAAGAAAAGTCAGTGGGCAATTGTACATGGCATATGATATACATACTTGATAATTGTGGACAGGTATTCTAATAATTGTGTTATGTCAGTCTGCCTCTCACTTGCAAGCTGCATGAGAAGGGAGGATCCAGCAAAAATTCCTTGGGATTGGTGTGCAGCTTCATCACTCCCACTATAAATTACACATCCAAAGACATGTATGCCCTCCACATTGCACCAAGTTTGTGCCTGTACAAGAGGTTATTCAAGAAGCAAACAATCACAATGGTATTACCCACACCTTGTGTAAAGGAGTCACAGCAAGCCATTACATGGCCCACCATTGCCTTGGAACTGATGTCTTTGGACCCACTGACACACTCACTCCAATACTTCTGGATCTCAGCCCACAGTTGAGGATGTTCATCCTCATCTTTATGGTCCTCATAGTGCTTGGTGTGATGCCTATAGTAGTCTTTGGTTTCCTCTGCAATTGAATCAATGTGGAGTCAAAACTGCAACAAGTTAGGATGTACTGACCTGCAGATGCTTTTGGATTGGTATGTGCATACCAAGCCTGATGCATGTTCCACACAGATTCAGCATGAGTTGCCTTTGTGGTAAGACCAGTAGCAGCCATGATTGACCCAAGAGTCTTGCCATACTCATCTGCAATCACCTGGGCTTCTTGAGTGGTGCACATGCCAAGTGCCTGTGCCCTTTGTATGGCTTCCAAGGGAAGCTGCCCTGGTTTGAAGTGTGGTAAGCCTGCTTCTGCACTGGATGCATCCTTGTATTGACTGAGGTCACTGGCTAGGGTAGGCACAGAGGGTGTGACTACTACCTTGCAGAAGGCATGATGTTGTCCTTTGGGTTTCCTATGCATCCTGGTCATCTCCAAGCAATCAGGGAGGTCTCCAGTGTCACTAGGTCCATCCTCATCTTCAGAGGATGTGTTGGCTAGGGCATGAGATTTCCCTTTGGCTTCCCTATGCCTCCTGGTCACAGAGCTGTCAGTGTCACCTTTGGTATTAGCAGCTCCATCTTCTTCTTCTGATGAGGATGGAGAAGGGAGAGGGGGTGTGGAAGGATGGTTATCAGTATCATAATTGCCAACACAGATTTCTCTTAGGGTTTGTCTGTTTTTAAGGTCATGCCTCTGGTCAGCTGACCAATCACTGTCTATTCAATGACACATGTAAATTATGTGAATAATGCAGTTTAATCAAATATACAAACCTGATGCACTTTCATGCTCAACATCATCATGATGAATGGAGTCCATCATATTTTCAACAGCTTGGCAACCATCATGATCCACCAGGTTCTCTGAGACCAGATCACCTTCAGCTTGCACTGTACTCTCAACAGCTTGTTCATCCTCTTCACTGTCATTGGGGGCAACAGCTGGTGGCAACCTTGAGAAGGAATACAGCTACATACATAGATCACACACTTACACTTTTTGTGACCCTGCTCAGCAACTATATCTTCCATAGAAATGATTCCCAATCATAGCTGCTCAAGGGCAACAGTGCAGTCAAGCTTCATACCATTCTGGAGTGTAACCTGTCTCATCTGGAAGGAGTCAAGGTACTGATCCTCACATTCTTTCTCTGTCAACCCTTCTGAAGAATTGTGACTTGAGTGCAGTTGGAGAGGGGGATGTCGAGCTACAGAGCTGGATTTGTGGTTCTGAAAACAGTGGTCAGTAAGCAAAAAAAAAAAAAGGTAGTGCTACACACCAGGCACTCCTCACCATCCCCTGACATTGGCTCATGTGTTTCAGAAATCATATCCTGATTTCCACCTTGCACTGATGGAAAGAGTTGAGACAGTAGTACACAAGACACAGGAAGTAGGTCTGTACTCACATTTGACTACCTGGTGATGGGCCTTTGTACCATGTGAAGGTTGGGCTTTGGTGGGCAAAGTGACAGTAGGATTGACTCTCTTTGACCTCTGGGCACCAACAGGGGGACCAACTTTGACAGTAACAGCAGACGACCTAGTCCCAGGCATGATGAATTTGACCTGGTAGACATGTGGTCACCACACACTCTTTGCTGATGTGAAATCAAGTGAGATGGAAAGGAAAAGATGTTCAGGTAAGGAAAGACTGGGTTCAGGCCAAACATTGGTTAGTGGACAATTTATGATCTTGCACAAAGGGTTACACACTGTAGAATATATACTACAGGACTATTAGCTGAGTGTAAAGACAGGATGTAGAAAGTGCTCACCTCAGTTGGGTTAAGCAGCCAACTGAGGTGTGAGTATGCTACTCAAGTACAAAAATGAATGTGATTATGTAATATGGCCAAATGTGCACCATAATACTAAGTGGGATGCAGATGAAAGTATAATATGAAAGACAGAATATACAGCACTCCCCCTCAAACATTACAGAGTCCAAGCTCATAAGCAAAGTGCTTGGCTTTGATGTTTGGAAGAGCCTTGGTAAGGGTATCTGCAACCATACTGCCAGTAGGACAGTATATGAGGCAAAGTGAACCATTATCAATAGCATAGCATATAAAATGATAATGAATGTCTATGTGTTTTGTACAGGCATGGTAATTGCCATGGTGAGCAAGTGCGATTGTGGACTGATTGTCACAATAAATTGTGGTTGGGAGTGAGAGTGGGCAGAACAACTCTTGGATGAGGCAATGAAGCCAGATGGCTTCTTTTGCTGCATGAGTGGTGGCAACATACTCAACTTCTGTGGTAGATAAAGTAATCAGTTCTTGTTTCTTTGAGGCCCAGGAGATTGCTCCACCATTGAGCAGGAAGGCATAGCCAGAAATGGCATGCTGGTGCTCCTGCGAGGCACCATCTGTGTCCGTATAGCCCTCAAGGCCATATCTATCCCCTCCAAAGGTCAACATGAGCCCTTTTGTGACTAAAAGGTATCTAAATATTCTTTTTACACCCTCCCAATGTGCTAACCTGGGGTTATTGCAGAATTGCGACAATGTTGCAACAGCAAAGGCCATGTCAGGGCATGTGGCAACCACTAGGTGCATCAGTGAGCTGACAGCTTCATGATATGGCATGTTTTTCATGTGCACAGCCTCAGCATGTGTTTTTGGGCACTGGGCAGTCAAGGACTGGACTGAGGGATCCATAGGTGTTGCAACAGGCTGTAGATCTACAAAATTATATTTTAACATCATAGAATCAATGTAGGATGCCTGCAAGAGTGAGAGCATGCATGCCAAGCAGTTACACATGACTTTTATTCTGAGTAGGGACAAAATGGGGCCTAAATCTGTTGACTTGAAGTTTGCAGCTATTTCAGACTTGAACCTTTTAATTAAGCTAGGGTTATTGCTGGTGATGGTGCAGTTGTTAACATGTGATGCAAGGAGTAGGATGTCCTGGCCTGTGTGCATGAAGAAAACACCCCAGTCAGCTTCAGCACAATGCATACCAAGTGTAGCAAGTGCAGCGCACAGCCACTCATACCACTTCAATGCTCCTTGCTTTGATCCATAAAGTGCTACATGCAGTCGGGTGACAGGATTTTTATATTTGCTGTTAACTGAGAGTCCAGGTGGCAGCTGCATGTAGATTATTTCATCATCATCCAACTTCCCATTTAGGAAAGTGCTCTGGAAGTCAAAAACATCAACATCCCAGTCATTCTGCACTGCAATAGCAAGGATGGTGTGGATAGATGCCATGTGTGCAATGGGTGCATATGTATCATAGTAGTTGGTGCCATGGACCTGTGAGTAGCCTTTTGCTACAAGTTGTGCTTTGTATTTTTCAATTTCTCCCTCCACGTTTTGTTTGATATGAAATACCCATTTACAGCCAACCATGTTGACACCACTGTGAGTCAAAGTGTGGTTCAGTGGTGAAAACCAACCAAAACCAACACAAAAGACAAAAAGAGTGAGTGGTGGTGTGCCTATGCAGTACCTAGATGGTAGAACCTTTGCTTTGGGTGGGTTTTTGCAAGCTACAGCACTCAAGGACAAGTGCTGAGGGTTGGGGGTGCTTCTGATGAAGAGGGAGCAAGAATGCAATAGAAAGTGATAGGGTAGACTGCTGTCAGCCCACAGAAGGATGGATGGCAACTTAATTCAATGTCCTAAGCTGCACTGAGCTCAGGGAGGGCTTGGAGCAAAGTATATTGATGATAGACAAGGATAAGCGAAGTAGATGATAGTTAGACCCTTAATAAAGTCTCAACTATCAAAGCTGCTGAATGAATTACTGAGTGATGATAAAATGCGAGCAAGAGGGGCTCTCTGATGTCTTCTTTCTTTTTTGCTATCTAAGTACAGTGATTTATATACAGTACAGGGGTGTTGCCCTTGGAAAACAAGGTGCAAACACTTGGTAAGTGATTGGTAACTGATGAGTAAGGAATGTAAGCAATGGGTAATCATCTTGGAAAGCATTGGTAAGCATTGGTAAGGATTAGCAAGCCAAAAAGTGAAGAATCAGTAAGCAAAGTCAAAAGATTGGTAAGTATTGGCAAATAGGTGAGTCAAAGACAGTCAGAATGTCAAAGTATGAGTCAAGTAATGTCAGGAACTGGGAATGCACACTGGAATTGCATTAGGGGGAGGCTGTGCATGTCACATCTCAAAGAGATTGCTTCTAGGCCAAGGTGGGATGACAGAGAGGCAGCACTAATCTGATGCCAATATAGTACATCCAAAAGTGGACAGGGTGAGTCAGATGTCAACAGGGGTCAAGCTTTGGGGGTCTGTGGGGTGACAGGAGCATAGGGGATTGCAACTTTCCCCCCCAAACCATCCTCTCAGTGAAGCAAATAAAAACTTCATGGATGAGGCCCTGTTGGAAGAGAAGATGAAGGGGGAGTGTCTTCTGCTGCATCTTGCAATAAGGAGGCAAGATGTGCATCATACTCATCATGGATGTGATCAGAGAGAGTGGAGAACAGTAGATTATACTGTAGCTGTCACAATCTTGGAAGAATGATGGACAAAACCAGTATGAAGACATTGCAGGGAGCAGGGAGGAAGGATCCATATGCTTCTTGGACTGGAGAGACTGAAAAAACCACATAAGACCTTTCCAAGTGAATGACAGACCTGAGGTGACCAAAGAACATCCTCCTAGAGGTCATACTGACAAAATGAACATGCTGTCCAAGCTGGATGGGCTGAGAGGGTGCAGACAAGGGTGGGATGTACCAGGATGCTTCAGGATGGAAGCTGGTAGGAACTCTTGGTAGATATATGTAGCCATGGTCCCTAGCAAAGGGGAAAAGTGAAATGATTGATGTGGAGGCAGCCATATCAGAAGAATTTAGCAAAATGAGGATCATTTGGAGGGAGTGCTGTAGAAATGTGTGGAGTGCACAAATCCTTTCCAATTTTGGAAGGTAGGATTGCATGGCTGAGCACTACAAGCAAGTGTGGGAATGGTCTCAGTATCTGCAGAAATGGTAGAGATATGTCAAAAACTGGAATGCTGTACATGGGTGCTTAAGAATTTTAACCAGCACTTAACTTGCTCCCTTTCTTTTTCTTTGGCACTGATGACTCATTCTTGTGTGAGGGATGACTGCTGACATCTCTGGCTGTCCTTCTTCACATGAGGGCTATGGCCTTCATCTCCATTCATCAGCTGTGTCCATGTCCACCCCACCAAACACCTTTGGTGTGTGACACCATGCAGTCTCTCAACAATGCTCCATGTTTGTGCCTCATCCAATGAGGTAAGTTCTTTATTAATTGCTTCCTCCCACTTTGACCAATCAGGTCTCACATGAGCATCTTTGATCATGATGGGATCTGTCCCTTCTAGCTCCGCAGTCCCAGCAACCAAGGCAAAAACTTCTTCATCATCTTTAATCATGCCCAGGTTTGCTGTCTCTATTCTCCTCTTGTCATGAGCCTGGTTGTATTCCTCAAGGTAATGGTAGTGTAGGTAGTGGGATTCATCTGTTGTATGTACCCTCACCCTCACACAGGTGCCATACATATGCTGACTCAACATGTGTGTGACCAGAGTGACAGGTGGGTGCTGCAGCCTTGGTCCAAGGTGGTCAATGGGAGTACTTGGTGTCATAGGTGTGCTTTCTGTGGTTCATATGGCATGCTGATTGTTTTTACCAGCTATGTGCGAGGTGGATGATGCTCCCTTGTCATCTGTGATGCATTTCTCCCCCTCAAGCTGCATGCCAATAGGAATGGTGACCTCCTGTGAGCTGAATCAGACATTTCATTTGACACCCACATGTCATGAGTCCTTGAAATAAATTCTGTGTGCATCTGTGTCCCTACTGAAGCCCACCCAGTGACCATCTTTCACATGCATTTCTGGTTTTGAACCATCAGCTGTGTGGACCTTGACATGGCAGCCCCAGATTGGTAGATTAGATAGATCTGGTTTCTTTTTATACAGCATTTCATAGGGTGTCTTTTTGTTGAGTGCACAGGTGGAGGTTTGGTTCTTTAACCAGTTCATATGCATTATGGCTTCTCCCCATAGTGACTTTGGGAGGCTGCTTGCATTTAGCATGGCATGTACACATTCAACAAGTGTGCAGTTCAGCCTTTCAGTGACACCATTATGCTGTGGTGTATCATGCAATGTGAGCTTCCTCTCTGTTCCTTTCAGCCCAAGATGATGTGAAAACTCTTTGCTTAGGAATTCCCCACCCTTGTCTGAGCAAAGCCTTTTAACCTTCATGTTGAACTGTGTCAGCAGCCAGGCTTCATACTTCTGGTAGGACTCAAAGGTTTTGTCCTTTGACTTCAGGAGATACAGGCTTGTAAAGTGAGTGTGGTCATCGGTGTATGGCACAAAATACTGACTCCTTGCATTTGTTTGGACAGGGGATGGTCCCCATAAGTCCATATGGATTTCATCACCAACCCTGTCTTGGTGTGGGGGGTCTCAGATTTTTCCTATGGGTTTTTGGGTTGCCTTGGCATACTTGCATGCATCACAAGATTCAATTGTTGCATGGGAAGGGTCTAGGCTTATTCTGGTTACAATGCCATCCTTTAGCATTTGTTTAATAGCATCTGGTGATATATGGCCAAGCCATGCATGGATATCTTCCATGGTAAGGGTTACTCTCAAGTTTGCCAAGCCTGCATAAACCTTCTGTGTGGCTTTGGTTGTATAGAGGCCACTGCTGACTGGTACTTCCCCAAGGAGTTTCTTTTGTCTGTTAAAGATCTTGCAGTGTGAGTCACAGAAGAGTATGGCATAACCACTTGCATCTAGGCAGCTAATGGATACCAGGGTCATGCTGATCTTAGGTGTATGGAGGACATCCTTCAAGAGGATACAAGTGGGTGAGTTGCCATTTGGTAGGGATATGTACACATCTCCTTTTCCAATGGCTTCGAAGGTTCATTTGTCCACTGCAGTAATGGGTTTGGGAGTAATGGGCTTATAGTTGACAAAGTTTTCCCTGTATGACAACATCTGATGAGAGGCTCCAGAGTCATATAGAGTAGTGTAGTTAAGTAGTCTCATGTACAGGCTAGTAGCAAATGTCTCTGGGGATGGTTGAGCTTTGTTGACCTCAGCTTCATAGCTGTCATTGATATGTGCAAGCCATACCCCATCTGGGTCACTGCTGCTGTCATCCTTGGCCACTGCTGTGTGCTCTTTTTGTTTCCCTTTGTTTGGAGACTTCCCTCCACTTTGTGAGTCATCCCCACTTGACCTGCATTCATGAGCTTGGTGCCCATGTTTTCCACATTTGTAGCAAGTTCCAGTGAACTTCTTCTGCTTTCCTCCAGCCAAGTATGCTGCATTGTCTGCATCACTAGACTTTTTCTGCTTTGTGGCATGACAGTCATATTTGTCTTGTACTGCATCCATGAGAGTTGCAGTTGTTAGGGTAGTGGAGGTGGAAACTTTTGTGAGTGCAGACATTGCTCCAACAACAAAATCATAAGAGCTTGGGAGGGATGTCATGACCATGGCCATATAGCTTCATCTGTCAGGGCTTGGCCCATTGAGGCAAGTTGTTCATGTATTTGCCACATTTTGTCAAAGTGTTCCCTGACATTTCCTTTCTCTGTGCATTTTATAGTTTGGAGCTTCAGCAGTTTGACCAATACAACATGAGAGTGCTTCTCAAAGAGGTTGGATAGGTATGTCCAGATGTCGAGTGCAGTAGTGAGGCTCTTTATTTGGATGAACAGTGTGTCAGGGATTGTGCTGGCGATTTGTTGCTTGATGATGGCTTGGCTGAGCCTCCATTCTTTTAGAGTAGCTTGGTAGTTCATCACTTCCTTTTTCTCCTCTGTGGAGACAGGTATCCAGCTCTCACTCTGGTTTGGTAGTGTCTTGGGGTCAACTGGCATTGTCTCAGTACCATCTATGTACCTGAGCAGCCCATGAGCATCCAAAGACCACATTAGCCTGTCCTTGTATGTTACCCAGTTCTCTCCATCTGCTGAGAGCTTTGGAAACTTAAGGAAATCATCTCCGAGCTTGGATGTGAATGACATTTTGCTACAGGTTCCCAGTTAGTGAGCAACAGGGCTCATAACCTGTAGAATATATACTACAGGACTATTAGCTGAGTGTAAAGACAGGATGTAGAAAGTGCTCACCTCAGTTGGGTTAAGTAGCCAACTGAGATCTGCATCCCACTTAGTATTATGGTGCTGCATATGGCCATATTACATAATCACATTCATTTTTGTACTTGAGTAGCATACTCACACTGCTACTCAAGTACAAAAATGAATGTGATTATGTAATATGACCATATGCGCACCATAATACTAAGTGGGATGCAGATGAAAGTATAATATGAAAGAAAGAATATACAACACACACCTGATTTGAAGCGAGTGAAGAAAAGAAGTCAAGGAAGAAGAGAAAATGGAGGATGAATCATTCACTACTGAACTATTTATTTGGTCCCAGAAGAGGCCTACACACCTAATTCACACTAGCACCCTCACTTCCTTCTAGCTTGCACAATCCTATTGAGAAGGGTCAATTGAATGGAAATCTGGCATTCAGGGCAGAGGAAAAATGCAGCATGTCAACTGATAGAGTAGGAATGTCATTGTCATTGTGAGCAGAAGATATAAGAAAAACAAAAAGTTGATGTCAAACCTACAGACAGCAGCTCAAGAGTGATGTATTCTTTTGACAAATAACCATGGTAGGTGTCAGTGAACAGTTGATAACAATACAGGTACCTTGGAATATGGATGAGATCACTACAAGAAATTAGGTTCAGGGAGCATTGACATTAAACCTTATTTTGACATCTATTTCATAACATTCATAGATTCAACAAAAAGATTTAAACATACCTCCTTGGACAACAGTACCAGATGGAGTGGGTAAGGAATGAGACAAGTGCCAATGAACAGGATAATGTATACCTGGTAACTAGAGCAGGTATATTCTTAGACCCAACAAACAGAGACCACTACACATACCTGATGACAATGGTGAACAAAGTTGACAATGATATGGGTACTTTGGACTACATACAGCACAGAGTTGGTGAGGAATGGAAGGAGATCATTACCACAAACTCAGCTCTGGGAGCATTGACATGAAACTTTATTTCTGCAGTGATTGACAGGTGCTAGCAAATGAGATGGGTACCTAGGGATTATGAGAGGCTGACTGCATTTGTAAATCAATGTAAACAGACCACAAGACATACCTGATAACAGCAGTAACTGTAGATCAAGAGTATGTAATGATATCCATAGCTCAGACTACAATAGCAGTTGGCCAAGTGAAGAATGAGGCAAGCACCAACTAACAAGATGAGATATTAAAGAGGGTGATTGGATTCATAAATCTAACAAAAAGAGACTGACACATACCTGATAGTGATGATAAGTCAGCCCAACACCTGATGATGATAGATGTACCTCCAACAGCAATACAACAAGGAGTGGGTGAGTGACAAATGAGGCAAGCACTGATGGAGATAATTTTTACCTAGATATTAAAGAACATGATCAGATTTGTAGGTCCAACAAAATGCAAAGGCAGGACATACCTCATAACAATGATAAGTGAGGATCAACAGTCAATAACTATGTATCTACCACAAACTGCAATTCAACATGGAGTGGGTGGGTGTGGAATGAGGCAAGTGGTTGAGTGGAGATGAACAAGATAACTTATACCTAGATATTAAAGAGTGTGATCAGATTTGTAAGTTCAACAAAAAGTGACAGTAGCACATACCTTATAATAATGATAAGCAGGGATCAACAGCTGATAACAATACACCTACTGCAGACTGCAATAGAGCACAGAGTGGGTGGGTGAGGGATGTGACAAGTATGGACAAATGAAATGATTTAAATCTCATAGCTGATAATGAGAGTTGCAACAAGTACAGATTTGAACAAGATGATTGAAACCTCACACCTGATAACAATAATGAGTCAGGATCAACATCTGCTAACAATAGACATACCTCAGACAGCAATACTAAGCAGAGTGACAGTGACCCAGGAGAGAAACAAGATCAGTGCTAATGAATGGACATAGGTGTTTAGAATCAGCTGGAGGGAATAGTGCTATAGAACATACCTTTGCAAGTGGGAAGGAGAGGATCTGGGGTGAAGGGCAAGATGAACTCCTCAGGGTCTTGAACCCCACTAGCAGTGCAGTGGTGCTGGGGCGACCTCAGTGATGCAAAGTCAACAGAGTATGAACTGCAGCAACACAAAGTCAGCTGCAGCTCTGAGTGAGTGGCACAGAGCCAGCTCAGGTTCAGCCAACATGTCCAAACTTGAAGCATAGAGGCAGTAAGTGGGAAGATGATGACAGGGAGGTGAGAGGATGACAGTTGTTCATAACAAAGTGTGGAGCTGCTGGCACTGTGCAGCTGGAACATGGTCCCATGACTTAGGTATTTTTTCCCTGGGAATTCTCCAGGCTATCACATCAAATGTCGCTATTAATATATGTACATAAGCATAATAGGTAAATCCCTACAAACAAACAAATACTTGTGATTTTCTGGCTGCAACTACTCTTCATCCTACTACCCTTGCCTTCCTCACTTCATCACTCAGCACCTCCACCCTCAAGGTCTCAAGTCCCTCCCCACCACATGCATCTTCTCCCATTGGGTTTGAGTTGGCTTCATGCCACTCATCTTGACCTGAAGTTGACTTCATGTCACATTATGTCACACTCTGTTGACTTTGCATCACTGAGGTCACCCCAGCACCACTGCGCTGCTAGTGGGGTTCAAGACCTTGAGGAGTTCATCTTGCCCTCTACCCCAGATCCTCTCCTGCTGTCATCCTTCCATTACTTTCTTGTATAAGGTGCATGTTCTATACATGCTATTCACCCTGTTGTTCACCCCATTGTTCATTTCATTGTTCACCCTGCCATTCATTTTGTCATTCACCCCACCATTCACTTCATCATTCACCCCACTGTTCACCCTGTCATTCACCCTGCCATTCTTCCTGGATCATCTTCTACCACCGTCATGTTCTTATTTTCTTTCATAAAAGGTGTGTGTCAATTACATGCCATTCACACTGTTGTTTACCAAACCCTTTGCCCCAGACCTTCTCCTACCACTGTTGTACTCTTATATTCTTTTATAAAGGTGCATGTTGTTTACATGCCATTCACCCTGTCACCAACTAATCTACACATGATCTGTCTGTTATTCCTTGCAGCTCAATTCCAACACAAGTGAAAATGTTGTGGGGGACTGCACCTACCTGCTTCAAGGCATTCACCTGGCCCAGCAATGGTATGTTCCTCTACTTTTGTGTTTTCCCAGAGCTTACTTACCATCCACAGCTAAAATTACATCACCAGATGCATGAGTGGTCGCATGCAAGGACCACTGGGTGATCATGTTGCCCAATGTGGATTTCATTCCAGAGCCATACATTTTCAAAGAAATTGATCTTTGTCCACATGCTGACAGTTGGTTTGGCCTTGTTGATTGCTTCCAATGGCCTCAAACATACAAAAAAAACTATGAATATGCTGTTTGCATACCTCAAAAAAATACAGTCCCTACTCTCAATATTGCTTGGTTCACTCTGACATCCATGGATTTCATCCTTCCACTCAGCTCTGTGTATCCAGTGGGAACACTTGAAGAGGCAAAGGTCAAGGCCTTTGAAGAACTACTTCAGCAACTGTGCAGCCACTATCACCCCCTCCACAATCGACCTGTGGGTCAAGACCTTATGACCCAACTAGTGTGGTCAGTTCAACATGAGGTTTTGTGCTTGCAGCATCACCCCCTTTTATTCCAAGACCTCATCATTTTTGTTGCCCAGCTTCAGTGCAAGCTGCTTGACATTTACACTTTGCTCAAATACATTGAGATCCTCTACCCACTTCTTTCATCTCCCTGCTCAAAACCTGTATGCACAAACCCCACCTGGATGGGGTGCTTCATGAAGGATACTGCCACTTACAAAGCACTATATTTCACTGGGGTGCCAGTCTGGCTCATGTGTACCAAGGCATGCATCTCCCCTGATATGAATATCAAGGAGCCTGTGAGATTGACATGCCCTGAAGACATAGTGAAAGCTATGTATTTGGAAAAGGGGGTAGCTAAGCCATTCCTATTGATCTACCATGATCCTGGTAGTCTCCTGCACCCCATTCACACTCACAGGGACTATGAGGGTACATTTGTGGAGCAACCAGAGCCCCTGCAAGAATCATTTGCCATGTCCTCATCAAACCCATCTTCAAGCACTGGGAAGCAATCAATGAAAAAGCAGACAAGGGCTGCCAGGGAACAAGCAACTGCAGGCCCCTCCAGAGGTATGTACCCTAATTTTCTGTCTGCTCATTCCTGACCAACTTGTAGCTTCACACCCCAAACAATCAGGTGGTGGGGACTCAGCAAGGTGGGAAGAGCCTGATCTTCCAGAAATTCCCAAGCCCCAGTCTGTTTGCATTGGCTTGGAGGAAAGCTTCAAAGGATATGTCCAGAGTCAAGTCAGGCATTGTGGACCCTGGTTATTGCTTTCCAAAGCCCATGCTGTTGGTCAATGTGACCACCCCTGAATGAAAGAAGACATACATGTTGAATTGGCTCTCTGCTCATCCAGCTTGGATGAATTGAGTTGACATTTGGTCTCTGCAGAAGAACCCTTCCCCTCAGATGTGGAGGGACTTCCTCAATGGTACTGACACAGAGTGCTTGCCCTCTGGCACCCAGAGTGCATCCATGAAGTTGGCGGTTTGGGTGATTTTGGGGGACATCATTCAAGCAGCTCATGATGATCCTGTTCATATGTCAGAAGAGATTGAGTGGAGGGGAATGCAGGTTAGTATTTCATCCTATTTAGATCTGTTCTTCATACTTATCTTGTGCAGGTCTGGGCTTTGAGCCTTTCAGACCCACCCTTCATTTCACATGTTCCCTTCTATGGGAACTCTACAAACTCAACTTCCACTATGAACTTCACACACTCGATCAGGCCCTTGTCCCACAGCTTTGGCCCGATAGCCTAGATAAGTATATGTGCCAATCACTTCTTTGGTCTATCTTCCCTGGTGGATGTGGTCTTTCAAGTTGGTTGGCACCTCTTCCTTAGGAGCCACATGATTTGGGGTTGACTGCTAGTGAGATGGAGGTAGCATTGCCCTATCTGAACAAGTTCTGTCAGTTGCTATCTGCATGGCCAGGAGTGCCCTTTCATTTGAAGTCCCCAATCAAGCTGGATGGCTCTGGAAACCAAGCAGCATATGAAGCCTTCATCTTGGCTTGTGAATTCTACATCCAAACTGCATTTGATTATCTTGGGTGTCAACCATCCCTCCCCCGCATTTTTACCTTTGTCTGACATCCTCTGCTGCATATACTTTTTTTTTCTGTCCAAATTTGTTTAGTACAAGTATGTACCATGTCATAAAGCAGGCTGAATCAATTCAATGATTCAGAATGTTGCCTGTGACTGAACCTTAATCTCATGCTTTGTGCTCACTGCTTTTTTTTTTTGTTGATAGCAATGCATTATTCACTGACACTCCCACTGCCAGGCAAGAAATGTTCCCATCCCCCTTCACTGCTATTGACACTTTATCTGCATCAAGGTCTGCACCATTTAATTCTTTGAGACTTGTTCTGCTCAGTATGTATGACATCTTGATGATGGGGTTCCTGCTCACTGTGATGTTGATAGCAACTTTTGTTTTTAACTGCTCAAGACTTGTGCTCTGGTAAGTAGGATCCTACTTGGCTGTATGTGGTGATCTGACAAATTTTCTGTGTAGTTTTTCCCTTCCAGAGGTTTGTCATCTGGTCAAAATCCCCTTGGACTGACACCCCCTGCTGACTTTGTGTTGTGCTTTCCACCACCTGTTTACTTTGAGTCCCAGGTGTACTGCTGTTGGCTTTGTGTCACAGTTTCCAGAACAATCTGAGATGGCTGTTCACTGTCCAAAGCCTCAGAGGCATCACAATGCTTTGCCTTCTATGAGTAATTCTATTATTGTGAGTTTTCCCTGTCTTCAAGCCTCATGTTGTGCTCATCATTTCTCTACAGGCCTCCTCCACTTCATCTGTCCAAGCTGGTCTGGTACCCAGTGTACTCACTGACCATCCTTCATCCTTGTCTGGTAATGAGCCATTGCTTTGTACTTCTGGCCCTTCAGTGTGTGCAATTTCATTATGGTATTCTTCATATCATCTTAGCTCCCCTGCAGGTCTAATTGATGTCATCTGCCTCAACCAACTGGCTGCCCAATGTAGCCACTCCATCATCAAACAACCAAGTGTCACTTGGTATACCTGCCCCTTCAGTATGTTCTGATCCTATGTCTAAGAGGTTATATGTGTTTATTTTTGGGTAGAATATGACACAGTCATTGTTTGTCCCTCCTCCCCTAGCTTGTCAATGCTGCCCTTTTGGTATGAAAGCACTGTACCTCCCTGCACCTCCACCTATCTTTGTACTCCCAGGCTGCCAACACCATGCTCAAGATACTGCTGCAATGCCACATTGCCCTCAGCACCAACCTGTTGATGTCTTCAATGCTGTGAATGAGCTCGAACTCAGTGAGGTTGGCTTGCCTTCACATCTGAGTGGTTCTCAGATGCACAAGAACCAATGGCAATGGTGGTCACAAGATATCATTCCAGCACTTCTCAAGCCCTACATGTGCTATCTCAAGGCATCCCAATCCCTCTGCATGGTAGTAGACACCCCAGTCATCTATCAATATTGCACTTGCACAGTGTATCAACTCACTGTTTGCTGTCTCTTCTTTGACCATATGTGACCCTTTTGTTGTTTGCTCTTGTGATGCTCATGTATACCCAGGTTTGGAGGATGTCAGGATAAGCTACTGTGCATGCACCCCAGCTCCTATATGCCTCATGGGCCATGGGTTATTTGCATCATCTCCTGTGGTACCTACTCTGGCAGTTGACCTTTGTGTACTGGAGTTTGTAAAGAAGCTCTTTGTCCAGCTAACCCCAAACACAACTGCATGGTGTGAAGCACTTGAAAGCTTCCTGGATGGTCAAGGGTATAGACTGCAGTTCAAGGTATGTTCTTTTCCAAACACCATCACTGGATCTCTGCCTTTGTCTTCACATCCACCCTGTATGCTACTTGTATTGGTATATCATCATGGTTTGAATGTACATGTACCCACACAAATATCTCTGGTGTAATGATGGGTGCTTATTCAAATAATCAGGACAATCTCTGGTGGCATTTCAGTAATGCTTATCATTGGTATACTGTATTGACAATATATGTGGAGGACCATATTTCTGCTATGGTCCAGTCCTTTTGCCCAAACTCCATGCCACAGCAAGATAGCCCCTGGCCAAGTGACTACCCATGTGCTCACTGTCCTCTTTGCTTTGGGGGAGGTGACTTACAGAGCTCTAACCCTCCTCAGGATGAGTGAGTCAATGACAAGCTCATTGTTGCTGACTAGATGACTGAGACCCAATAGCTTTGACTGCATTGTCTGCTTAGATGCATGTTTCACTCAGAAGAGAACCAACAAATCTGCCACTGATGACCCTCCCAATCCCACCAGCACTGTATTCATCCCTGAGTCAGAGGTGAAGGCCATGGAGGTTTTCATTGAGAAACAGAGATCCCTCCCAACCAGTCAACATCATTCTCAGGCTCAAAACCAGCAGGACAGGTTGGAGGATGGAATGAGGGTACCTGCCTCTGTGTTGGATGGGTGTGGAGGTTCTTTCCATGCAGCAGATGAGAAGAGGCAAAAAGCCAGCACACAATTTTTTTCAGATACAGGGCTTATGGCTTTGTTGTGTCATCATGATCATGTCCTCTGGTTGGTTAATATGACATCAGCAGGGGAAAAGCAGCACTATGCCCTAGTGCTGGTGAAACAGTCTCAGTGTTAGCCCACCAGCCTACACTGTTTTGGCCTCCAGCTGTCAGCCCACCAGCTAGATGGTACCTCAGGTCACCTTTAACCACCCCAAACCTCTCTGACCACTTCAGACCAGCTGCTCTGGCCCTGCCCAGGTCCATACCAGTCTTCCTTTGGCATTTCCAGCCTTACAGCCCTGTCCAGGTCTAGACCAGTCTCCCACTGGTCTTTCTAACCCTTCCAGCCCTCACTGGCTCCCAACTGGTCCCCACCTGGCTTTTCTAAGCCCTCCCTGACCATTTGACCAGTCTCCAGCTGGCCCTTCCAATCCTCTCTGGCCCTCAGACTGGTTCCTGGCCTTCCCAGCTGTCATGACCATGACACTGACATAAGCCCCTAACACCTACTCCACCCTCTTCCAATGCATTCCCATGCTCCTCTGACCCTCCCAACACCTCTCCAAGGTCCCCTGTCTGTTTTCCAACCAACTCTGCTCAACTCTGCCCTCAGGCTGGTCACATGGAGGCCAGACCTTTGTCTGCACCTCCTCCAAGGCCTTGTCAGCCCAGTGAGCTGTTGGACTTGTGGCCCTGCATTCCAGATAGGGTTCTGCCCTTGTGTCAATTTTTCTCCATTCTTCCACTCTTTCAGTATTTACCCTCTCTTCCTCATTGTAGTAGTTTCTTTGTCTCAGTTAAGGTCCCCATCATCCCTACCCTCTATCCCTTGTGTCAGAGGGACTGCTAACCTGTTATACACTTATTGGTTTGCATTCTGCACTGCACTGCCCTTGACCTACGTTGTATATAAGGCCACATAGTACTCCAATGTAATCAGTACAAATATCAAATAAAGTCCCCACCTTCAACTCCCTCTCAGTTCCCTCCAGAGTTTCATCTCCACTCCCTCTGAGTCCACTCCACCTCTGAAATATGAGGGCTGAGCTTGCACAAGGGGGCAGCACACTAGCTGAACCCAACACCCTCTCATCTGACCTCCAACCATACCCCTCCACTCACTGTTCATTGAATATCTCACCACCCAGTGGTCAGATTTGCTTCAGACTTTGACTACTGTACTCCACAGCACAACCCACTCCCACTCTGCCCTAAGAGGAAGTCAGGGGTGTTGTGTGATTCTGACACTGGCCTTCTGTCCCCTTGACCAGTCTTCAGTCTAGCTGTTTTCTCCAGACCACTTGCTTTAGCATGACTGGCTTCAGCCACTCCCAGTCTTGATCTCTGGCTTTTGCAACCCCCAGCCTGAGCCACCCTCAGTCTCAGCCTTCAGCTTTGACCCCTGCCTCTAGCTCTGGTTTCCTGTTTCCTTGTTATATGTTTTCTCTGTTTTCTGTTGTCTGTTTTCTTTTTCTGTAGATACACACTTTCAGACCCTGTGACCCCCTGGAGCAGACCTTGGACCCATCCTGGCCTTCTTGGCACTTCTTGTGACCCTCTGTACCCCTGCAGTGCACTCCCAGTCCAACCAGTGCATTCCTAGACCAGTTTTTCCAGCCTTCCCTGCACCCACCCAGCCTTTGTGCCACTCCAGTGTCACTCAGAAGCACATTGCTACACCCCTGGACCACCTTTTGGTCATCTTCAGACCTCTCTGGACCCTCTCAGCCTCCATGTTGCCCTGAACCAGCTTTCAAGCACACCTCCAGTCCTAGTGACACACCCCTGGTACATTTGTTGGACATTGCCAGTCCCTGGTACACTCTCAGCCTTCATGTTTCCCTGACACAGCTCCAAAGCACACCCCTGGCCCTGACTTGGTCATTCCCAGACTTCATGTTGCCTTAACCCAGCTCCAAAGTGCAACTCCAGCCCTCTGAAACATTGGCTTCAGCTTTTCAGCTGTCTCTGGAAACCCCTGTGCAGCCAGTCTAATCACTCCCAGACTTGGCTTTGCCTTGTCCTGGCCTGCTGAACCACCTAGACCAGTCTCTGGCCCACTTGTTGTTGCTTCTCCAGCCTCAGGTTCCCAGAACAGTCCTTGGTCTTGACCCTTGACCCCAAACCCAGCTTATGCCATCCCAGTCTGAACTACTGGACCTCCAGTCATCACTGCCCAGCTTCCCAGCCCTCAGGCTCACCCTTGGCACTGTGTGTGCACTTGGACTCACTGTTAGTCATGCAACTACATTGTGTAACCCTCTGGGCATATTTCCCTATGGAACCTCAAGGGTTTGGTTCCTAAGAGGGGGATACTGTCATATCCATGACTCTCAGACTCAATCCTGGTCCAGTCTGGACACCTAGCCTCTATCTCTGGTCAAGCCCAGTCCTAGTCCAGCCTAGAAAACCCAACTCCAGCCCTAGATAACCCAACTCCAGCCTGAATAACTCAAGTCTGGTCTTTTACCCCTATCTCCAGTCCATTCTGGCCTCCTGCCCTTGTGCTGCTCCACCCCAGTCCTCCCAGGTCCATATCTGGGTCACCCAGACATAACTCCAGTCTGTTTTCCTTTGTTTGTACTATATTTAGTCTAGTCTCCTTTTGTCTGACTCTGCTTACTGTACAAATCCTGTGTCCAACCCCAGTTATGCCAGTCATCCAGACTTTGACTATTAGCCTCAGCACAGCCCCTATGGCTGTCCACACTCTTGCTAATCATCTTGCTAATAGCTTATTCACAAGTCCAGCTTCATTTTCATTATCCCAGACTGGCCTCATGTATTTAACCCCTGTACATACTTTGTAGCACTCCAGTCAGAATATCAATTTAGTATTACCCTCAACTCTGTACTACACTCCAAGTCTACTCTATAGCTAAGGCTGAGCCTTAAGCTATCCCTGGCCCCTGTCCCAGACCTCTCCCTGGCTTGCATAAGGGTACAGCACATAAGCTGAGACCAAGGGAGGTAGATCCAACCCTGGACTGGCTTCCCCCTGTGCACACTCCAAGACCAATTGGTTTCCTATGCTCCCAGTCTTGTTCCCACACTCCCAGTCTTAAGTCCAGTCCCCCAGACTTAACCCCTGTCCTCCAGCCTTAACTCTGGTCCAACTGGACTTGGCCCCTGTCTCCCAGCCTTGACTTTGGTCAGCCAGACTTAGCCCCTGTCACCCAAGGGTAAACCCATACTTAACATTAATGCACATCAACACTTTTGGCTTACAGTTTTGTGGCTAGAAATTCATGCACAGAGTAACTATTCTTGAACACATCATGAAATTGAAGACCAATGAGGGAGATGCTGTCAAGTTCAGGTTGTCTGGGTTGAGTCTGGACCAGAGACCGAAGCAGGTGTGAGGCTGAGGGGTCAAGATTAGGAAAGACAAGGGTACAGAGTGGTGGACTGATTGGACTTAGCAACTGAGGCTACAGCACTATTCCCTTGTGTGGGTCATAGTCCAAGTCCGAGGACAAGGATTTACAGGTAGAACTTATTTGATTTCAGACTGAGGGAATACAGGCCAAGTATCTAGGACTTTATATACTAGGAGTAGCTATAGTATGGAGACTGGTAATGCTGGTCTCACAAAGTTTGCTAAGATGATTGGTAAGAATGGTATTAGTAAGGTATGACTAAGGTAATGGAGACTGGGACAGGGTGGGCTGGGGACAAGACTGGGCAGGGCTTAACTGAAGTGACACACATTGCAAAGCAGTGTTCACCATGCTAGACTAACTGGAGATATGGGATTGGCAAGGCTGAGGCCAGACTGAATGAATATGAGGCTGAGTCCAGCTGGTGTCAAGACATGATTATGAAAGATGCCAACACTGCAGCTTGGACATGGCTACAAGATCTTGTCCTATGCCTTGGTGAACATGGTGCAAGTGTTGGAGTGAAACAACCCCTGTCCTTACTTGGACTTAGGCATGTGATCATGTCACTTACATAAGCTGTTAGAGCACACCCATACACTAGTAAAATTTACCTAGTCCCTCAGTAGCTTGACAGACTACTGAGGTTCCCTACAGATTCCTCTCTGGGTTTCCCCTCTGCAACCCCACAAACTTCTTCAGCAAGTTCAGAAGAGAGTGATGTTGAGAATGAGGTGGAGGGGGTACTTCATGTCAAGAATATGAAATGGCAACATCACATCAAGCAGGAGCTTGACATTGACACTTTTTCACCACACATCAGTAAATCACTTTTGCTGGCCAGAGCTGTCCAGAGCTGTCCAGCACTGGACAGATTCCCTAGGACTACCAGCTCACAAAGTGGTCTACTGATGCAGGGGTCTCAGCCAATGAGAAGAATTCATGCACCTGGAAATCACAAGAGTGCCAGGATGCCAGTTAAAGGTCTACCAATTGCTTTATATGATGATGCTTGGATTAAGGGGCTCAGCCAGCAACAGTTGGAAGCACTGGAGATCTCTCTGGTAAACTTCCCATGGATGAAGGTGGCAGTAGTCTAATAGTCAATGCCTACATAGTACTATAAACAGATCACTGGTGGGCAACAGGTAGGTGATGAATGGGCAACTAGCAGGCAATTCATATAAACCATACATCATACTTTACAATTCAATCAATATTTCATCCTCATCCCAAACTTCAAAATTAGGCAGAGTATTTATTGTTTGTGCATATTTGGAATCTTGGTCAACACATGAACACAGTCCATTCTTGATGTTTTGTTGAAGTCACAATGTGAAGATGAAATCAGAAGTTTGCATGCACATTCAAACCACTACCAAACTTGAAGCTAAAATTGATGTTCTGACACCATCAATACATGTGCATAAACTTGAAGTATTGGTAAACATTGAGGTGTTCATGAAAACTTCAAGTTTCACCTTCGAAAAATTGTTGAATTAATTTTCCAGTGCAGTCTTTACATTTTCTACTACATTAAGACCTGCCCTTAACTCTCCAAATCTGCTGTGACAGTGAAGACATTGAAATTTTATGACCCATCCTTGTGAATATTGCAAAGGAGAACCAAATGTGTATGACACTATTTCCAGTACACTAATCATCAATGCCCTAACATTTATCTTGCACAGCAAAGAGAGGGAGTCAGAAGTTATTGACAATTTGGTCCTCAAAGTGGTAGGCTGCAATTGTATGTTCCCCAGTTTCTTGTGTTTGTAGTCTTTTGAAGATATTATTTCAAGCATGTTGATTGATGTGTCTTTTTAAAATCCTTATGTTGGTGGCAAAATCACACCACACAAAATCACCCATACTAAGGGAGGAACAGTTGGAGCTAACTTTCCAAGTTGTACACATAGCTCTACATGTTGCTCATGTTATTGGTCCTACCCTCCACCATGTCATGAACACAGTGAGCCTTACATTGTCTCCAAATATCATGCCCACTGTCCAAATCAACAACAGTGAAGTAGCACGCTGATCAATCATTTCAAGCTCCCCTTCCCCGAGATGAATGCACATGAGTCCAAAAGTGAACCATTACCAAGAAAGAGATGAAATATTTTGGGTCGTCGACATATCGCATGTCGTCCACAGGGCTTGTGCGAACGATCCATCATTTGCTGTGGGCGTCGGGTGAGATTCACAGTGTACGACCTGTGCACGACGAACCAGCAACAATCCAGTGCACCGTGAACTGAACTACAAATCGGTGGCTGTGGTGGGTTTCTCAATCACTCATCATCCAATGACAGCTGGAAGATGGGTAAAATTCGTCCAGGCCTTACGAGCAAGAAAACGTGCGCGTGTATTTGAAAAATATGATAGTAACATGAATGCTCTACACGGCTTCACGCTTCCGGGGCGTCGCACGGAGAATGTCATCCACCCTATACGTCCGTGAGTTCCCATAAACATGATCAAGCCAGGACACTCGTACCGAATAATCATCTCTGCAGCCTCGCTGGCACTCAGTACGACTTGTCGTTTGAGTTTATAGCTCTCGGTTACACCGAGCTTCTTCATCGAGGCGATCGTCCCTTCATTCATATCTGCCACGAGTCGAGGTTGAGTGAATGATAGGAGACAATGCAGAGAGAATCTAACATACCTAGCCCGGCATCTGATTGTCCCTCGTAGTGCGCAGCCCTCAGACGCGTCACGAGATCACTAGAATCGTACCCAGCATTATCAGCAAGAATCGTTGGAATCTGCCTGAGCGCATGTGCGAACGACTGGACTGCGATAGCCTTCTTGCCCTTGACTTTCCGGGAGGCTTCGTCGATGGCGCAGCTCATCAGCATTTCTGAGCACCCACCACCGAGGACGACACGGGTCTCTTTCACGGTCTGGGAAAGAACTGATAGAGCGTCGTGTAGCGAGCGTTCGGCTTCGTCTACCATTTGGTGTGTAGAGCCGCGTAAAACGACGGTGCAGGCCTCACCAGCGGCGACACCGGAGAATTTTATGAGCTGAATTTGAATGTTAGACAACGGCCAAGTTGAGCCGATGAGACAACGCTTGCCTTGTCTTCGCCAACAATGATCTCCTCGATGAGATCACATCTACCGAGCTTCACTAGATCCGGACGGTCGAACGTGCTGGCGATCTCTCCTCCAGTGACGAGCGACAACCTTTCTACGCCCTCAAAGTCGGCATGCTCGATGACCATGATTCCCTTCTCAGTGAGGATTGATTCGGGATAGTTGTATATGAGTTGGCGGTTAACGAAACAATTTATTCCGTGTGCGGCGATAGCCTCGACCTTGGCTTTCATCTTCTCTCGTTCGGCGCGTTCGAGTTCTGCGAGTTTTCCGGTCGAGTCTACTTTCAGTCTGGCGCCAAAAACTTTTATTTTGTCGGTGTCCATCGCTGTAGAACAGAAAAGATCAGTATGTCGCGCGAGATTGTCGAGCGAGAAAGTCTGGCGTACAAGTGTTGGCGACCAATATTTTGGCGTTCTCCATGCGTTTTGGCGAGTTAACGGCGATTGTTTTGTCGAGAATAAAACCTGATGCAAATGAGATCTGATAGTCCGAGATTTTCGGGGTTTGGACGTGCCTTCGTCCAAATAGGAATCGGTTAGTTTTCCGCCGACTTTCTTTATGATCTGGATGTGTTCGAGGTCTGTCGAGCCCTACACTAGCTGTGAGCGCGAATGAAATTCAGGGGGCAGCTCAGAGCACCTTTAGTCTCAGCACGGCCTCCACGGCGAGATTAGCAAAGTAATCTTTGTCTTGTGAGAGCACTTTGGACGATAGCGTCGTCCGTGCGATGTTGAACAAATCTTCACGGAATTGAGCTGGATCGGACCTGCATGAGGCAAATCCGGATCTGGATAAGGTGCCAGCAAGACGATAACACGTGAACGTACGCGTGATCGACAGCTGCTTTCTGTAGTGCATCCAAGGCGGCTACGCTTGCGATGCGGTAGCCCTCTACGATGGTCTGTGGATGTATCCTCATCGCAATCAACTTTTCTGCTTCCCTCAGAAGCTCTGCTGCGAGCTACGCAAACGCTGGTTGTTCCGTCACCGACTTCGTCGTCTTGTACCTTCGATATGTTGACGAGGATCTTTGCGGCTGCGTTGTCGAGCTGGATAGATTTTAGGATGGTAGATCCATCGTTTGTGACGTTTATATCGCCGGTAGAGGTTGACTGAAGTATTTTGTTCATCCCCTTTGGACCGAGGGTGGACTTGACGAGGTCACCGACGGCGAGTGCGCCGACGAAGGACGCAAGACGGGCATTCTCTGCCTTTTCCTCTGTCGCCTGTAATATGATAGTGTCAGGGGTTCAGATTGGTACGAACGATGCTGATTACCTCGTTGCCAAAAATCTGCATGGACATCGTTTGGGTAGATGGCTTTTGCAAGATAGTGGCGATCAGACTCGACGTAGGTTTATGTAATGCGTGTACTGAGCTCTTGCCAACTTTCAACTACTTACTTACTTACTACAAGTCTTTCTATAAGCCCTCGACGAAGCTATTAGACTTCGCGTTCGCAGGGTGAACGGCGCCTTAGCGTATGTATGTGCTCGTAGTACTTGGGTAGGACGTAGCTTGTTTACTGAGTACATAATATAGTCCGGGTACAAATAACGTCGGCGGGTCTCGGCAAGCACAAATTTTGATTTCTGTCCTCGACGACGACGACGATGCTCGCCCGCTGCACAGCCCGCTCATTGGCCAGCCCGGCCCGCCTGTTCTCGACCTCCGCTGCCCGGCACACGAAAGTGGCCGTCCTCGGCGCCGGCGGAGGCATCGGCCAGCCGCTGTCGTTGCTGCTCAAGGCCGACCCGCTCGTCTCCTCGCTGAGCCTGTACGACATCCGCGGTGCACCCGGCGTTGCTGCGGACGTCAGCCACGTCGACACCCCCTCAGAGGTGCGTTCGCAGTGGTGTTTATTAGGTGCAATTAACGGGCGTTTAGGTGCACGGCTATCCGGCCGACAAGCTCGACAATGCTCTCGATGGCGTGGAGGTTGTCGTCATCCCTGCTGGTGTGCCACGAAAGGTGAGCTACGGTTCTGCCCTTGCAACGACTCACTCCACTCACGCTTGTCTCCTAGCCCGGTGTAAGCAGCCCCCTCCACTGTCTGTATTCTCCTTGCTAATTCCACCCCCAGATGACCCGTGATGACCTCTTCAATGTAAGTCTGTCTATGCTCGTCTCGATGTCTCTTATTCCCGTTCATGTAGACCAACGCGTCCATCGTGCGCGACCTTGCAAGCTCAATCGGTCGTGTCTCGCCGAAAGCACACATTCTCGTCATCTCCAACCCCGTCAACTCCACCGTCCCCATCGTCGCATCCACGCTCGCCAAGGCCGGTGTCTACGACCCTAAGCGTGTGTTCGGTGTCACTACCCTTGATGTTGTCCGCGCCGCTCGCTTCACTGCATCCGTTGCTGGCGTACACCCCAACGAGACCCCCATTACCGTCGTTGGCGGTCACAGTGGTGCAACGATCGTCCCTCTGCTCTCTCAGAGTGTACACGGTAAGAACATTAAGGGCGAGGCCTATGAACAACTCGTCTACCGCATCCAATTTGGTGGCGACGAAGTCGTTAAGGCCAAAGACGGCGCTGGGAGTGCGACCCTCTCCATGGCGTATGCTGGTGCCAAGTTTACCAGTGCCCTCTTGCGGGCTCTGAACGGTGAAAAGGGTGTTATCACACCTACGTTTGTTGAGAGTCCGTTGTTCAAGGACAAGGGCATCGACTTCTTCTCCTCCAACGTCGAACTTGGCGTATGTGTCTTTTCTCTAAATTTGTATGTCTGTCGGGCTGACGTGCCACCTTCCACAGGTCAACGGCGTCGAGAGGATCTTCCCTCTGGGACATGTGTCCGTAGAAGAGGAGAAACTCTTGGAAGCATGCTTCCCTGAGCTCAAAAAGAACATAGAAAAGGGACGGGCCTTCATTGACAATGCTTAGATGTTGTTAGAGACGTGTAGATGCGCTCTTGATTGCCAATACCTGATCTCCCTTGCTAATGCATGTTGTCTTGAATATTCGCATTCCCCCTCTCTTGAGTTCTTCGGGCATCGCGCTGTACTCGACACCCCAAACGACACGGTATACAAGCCTTCTATGCAACGACAATAACAGAACACGAACAAGATTACAGACAACAACACGGCCTCGCTCGTGGCGAGGGTACAACAAGATATGACTCAGAAATCAACGAAGATATACCTTCATGGTGATACACACAATGCACTGTGGAAGACTGCGTGACTGCGAGCACACCTGGATAGGAAATGGATTTGCATACCGTATATCCGGTATCAGTATATATACCAAGATAGCTTATTGGATTTCAACGGAGACGCAGAGGCAGAGAAAGACGCGTCTTCTCTTGCGCGCTGACGTTTTGCATCGTACCATCTAGCAGTTGCCGCTGCAGAGGCTGCGAGTTGCACGCGAACATGTAGTAGGTGTATATGCACACATCGCGTGTTATGTGGAAGGGGACTCAGTCGTAGTATTCGCGATAATAGTGGATCACTCACCTCGCTTATATGCGCCGTCCCTTCCTATTCCCCATATCCACAGGATGGCTCTGACGGGTACCCACAGTACCCATGCCATGAGCATCCACACGACCCACACGACTGTTCCCCATACTGCGTGGAGGAAGAGGACGAGCGGTGAGGGCACGAAGGACGGCGGTGGCGACGAGGAGACGAGCGATGCCCAGAATGCCAGTCGCGTGCTTTCGATGGTGAGGAAGACTGGCAGGAGCAGGACGGCGTAGACTTTGGCACGGGTGTGGGTGACTGCAGGCAGGGATGCGAACAAAGACAAAACACGTACAGAAACTTTGCATTCTTGTGTCTTGGCGCCGTCGTTCGAGTCGTTGCAGTGATGAGCCAAACAAGCGTCTAAATGTTGATTCGTTTACATAGCTAATATGTATTGGACATCGTATATACGTTGACCCTTCCACAATCTCTAACATAATGATACATCGAAAGACCTCTCATTTTACAGGCGGTCTGGACGAAGAGCATGTGAGATCAACGGATGATATATCGACGAAGCGAGAGGCACTGACCAACGTTACCCAAATCTTTGCATGCTTCCTTGACACGCGCTGCCATCGTCTTTTCACCCTCACGGACCCAAACACGAGGGTCGTAGAACTGCAAGGAAAAAATGCGTCAGCACATTTGCATGTGCAAAGGGCGAAGACGCACCTTCTTGTTTGGCTTATCAGCACCCTCGGGGTTACCAACCTGAGAGAGAAGATAGTCTTTCTTCTTGAGAATGTAGTCCTAAAATGACTGTCGTCTGAGATGGACAAGACAAGGGCCTAAACGAGTGACATACCCTGATGCCAGTGAGGTAGGTGAATTGAGTGTCTATACAAGTCCCCATCAGAAGATCGATAATTCTGAAGGTATATCTTCGTTACCAGTGTCAACGTTCATCTTGACAACGCCGTTCTCGACGGCCGTTTGGATTTCTTCCTTGGTCGATCCAGAACCACCGTGGAAGACAAGGTACCTAACATGCGCAGTCTTGTGAATTCCCATCCTCACGAGTATAAAAGGTGAAAGAAACATACAAGGGCTGCGCAGGCTGACCGCCCAGCTTCTCGCACGTGTATGCCTGGTGCGCCCCGAGGAGTTGAGGCTGGAGCTTGACGTTACCAGGCTTGTAGACACCATGCACGTTACCGAATGCAGCCGCGATGCTGAAGTTGGGGCTGATGGGGTTCAAAGCCTTGTAGACATCATACACGTCTTCTGGCTGAGTGTACAGCGCAGCATTGTCGACACCGGTGTTGTCGACGCCATCTTCCTCACCACCAGTGATACCGATCTCCATCTCGAGCCAGAGTCCGAGAGGAGCCATCCGCTTGAAGTACTCGACGCAGGTGGCGATGTTCTTCTCCTTTGGCTCTTCGGAGAGGTCAAGCATGTGGGAGGAGAAAAGGGGTTCTTGGTGTTCTTTGAAGTAGGCTTCGTCGGCTGCGAGCATGCCGTCGAACCAGGGCAAAAGCTTCTCGGCACAGTGATCGCTGTGCAGCACGACGGGACTGCCTCGAACGAAAATACACATGAGAATGACAGGCTCTGATGCTCATCGTGGTACGTACACGCCATATGCCTTCGCGACCGTCCGGATGTGGTGTGCTGCAGCGACAGCACCGAGGATGGATGCTTGTTGTTTGTCGTTCGCTATTCCCTTTCCGGCGAAGAAGGCACTACCGCCCTGAGAAACTTGGAGAATGATCGGCGCTTTGATGTCACTGTCATGGACATTTAGGAACGTTATCGGCCGAGAGAGGGGGCAGGATTTTGGACGTACCGGGCCGCTTCTAAGACGGCGTTGGCGGTGGAGGAAGAGGTGACGTTCTGGGAACGTAGGTGAGAGGGGGCAAAGATGCGGCGGTAAGAACGGTGCTTACGATGGCCTGTTGAGACGCAGCTCTGAATTCAGGGAAAAAAAACATCATCGGACTACATTCTGACAACGACTCACTGGGATAGCGAACTAGATAAGAGGGTGAACGAGAGATCAGTTGACATCGAAAGCTTCCGATGCGGCCAGACGACGGGTACCTTCTGCTCCCTTGCATAGTTGAACAACTTGCGGACGTTTTCACCGGTCAATACGCCAGCCTTCGTGAAGAAAGTGATTAGATGATTAGATATGGATGCGATCGGGTTCGTTCGGCAACATCGATGTGCAGGACTTACGGGTACGATATCGAGGACACCCATGATGACTTTTTAAATGGAATATGTCTAAGTGAAGATGCTTTAGTTGATGCGAGAATAGAGCGACGGTGATGGAAATGAACCGCCTTTTAACTTGGCCTATCGATGATGATACTAACCGTTTGCAGTTCGGCAACGGGAAAAGCACGTCAGGCTTGGCTATTTACGTATCCGCAATGTCAGGTCATGTGATCTATGACGTTCGGGAGATGCAGGGATGCGCCTTTTACAATACTGCAAATGTTGTCAAACATTCGAACTTCGAGGCCTCCCGGTGTCGAACGGAACCGTATATGTATATCCTCGTAATTTCCTTCCTTTGCGGAGGCTCACTTGGTGTTGTGGAATAATCCTGACATCGGACCAGCCTAGTAGCGGTCATAGACCGACTCTTGCCCTGAGCGTATTGGTTCGGAGCGCAACTAGTGCGTATCTCGTGGGACTGAAATTAGAGGCTGGCGATTGCAGAACCCATCTTCGCTGTTACGCACTCACCGAGGAGGGGGTTGTGCACATTCGTCACGAGGGCGAACAACTCCCACCTATCTGACTCAAAATCATCAGCTCGAGAGTGCAATCGGTCTCTGTGCGAAGCCATCCATCACCGCCCGCGCACTGGCGGCCCACTGGAAGTGAAAGTGATCTACATAGGTAACAACACGCTTTCGTGCTCTGCATTCTGCTTTTGATGTGTTCCTCCAGCGTTGCCTGCTATTAGCTTCCTTTTCTTGGCCCTTCACTGCTAATGGCAGGCGAAGAGGCAGCGGCAACTTATGTATCCCCCGTGCATCCGGTTTCTGTAGGTTGCCGACCATCGCGGTGGCCGCACTCGGCGAGGTATAGCCTCTAGCTGGCCTCCAGCTCAGGTCACGTTCATACCAAAAGCCCTCAGGGCCACCCCGGACGCTACAGAAAACAGATAGTCACCTTGTTTACAAGGTCACTCCGGCCCAAAATCCGTACATGCGTTCTTCGATACCCGCAAATATCAATATTCTGTTATTCTGCAACTATTCCACCTCTTCTGCTCTTCCGAACCACTTTTGACAGAGGCATGTGAGATCGTCGTTTTTTGTTGTTGTTGTACCAGCTGACTTTGTTGTCTGGGTTGCATGGCATCTACCCTAGGCAAGTAACCGAAATTTCCGCCGTGTTTTGCTGTCCTTCGAGAGGCTGAGTGGGCTACCGTTACACCTGGCTCGTATTCTCGTCTATGAGTTCCTTCTCGAGTTCAGACGTCAAATGCTTGACCGTCGCAAGTCACCCACTGGCAAGAAAGTCAGCATTCCTAGCCTCGTGCCAGCAGTAAAAGCAGTCCCGATCTTTTGAGGTGGCCTCTGGACGCATGAGGGTCCCCGCCATGCTTATAAGTTGTATCTGGCCGGCAAGGAAGCGCCATACTACCTACTGGACAAGAGTTACCTCGCAAGGTCGCTGGACGGACCCTACTGGATCGTATCGACAACTGGACCGCAGCGATAGGTAGCCAGCCAGCTCGTATGTGCACGTCACCCATGACGATCTCACTGAAACACGTTTCCTCCTCAGTCCAGGCCGTTCCCATCCTCATCTGAACGCCTCCTCCACTCGGACGCTCGAGAAGACGACGCCAATAAAGCACGCCAATGGATCACATTATTTGACCAACAGTAGGAACGTACTAAACTCTCACTTAGGTACACGATGATGACCCAGGCTCTGGTCCTGTGGTCGTATCTCGCGCATTCTTGCAGTGGTCCCCTCACTTTTCTGGTCGTACCTCTCCTCCATTGGACCCTTTCTGGGGATCCGGGGTCTATCTAATTCCGCGCAGCCATTGCGGAGATATTCCCCGTTTTCGTGTTTGGAGGGCAGCGAGGGCGTTTCGCGCGTAATTCGGGATCTGGCCATCCGATCTCCGTAATTCCTCTTTCACCATGTCCGTCTAGGAGGCTCCTTACTGTGTCCCAGGGTTCTACGTCGATCACCCCTACCGTTGTCGTTCGAGGCCTTCCTTCTGTCTACCCCCGCGGTCTTGTAGTCGCATCTCACGTGTTTCTGTGCGGCCCCCTCTTGCTTCTCTGGTTTTTACAGATTTCTCGGAGCCAATTTCATGCCATTTCGATCGCTGTTGTCGATCAACAGTTTCTCTTCCACCATTTAACCACACAGTGAACGCGAAATCTCGCCCGTTTTATCGCCGGATCCCTCGCGTCTTTTGGAGCCGTATACTACCCAGTTAGGGTGTTCAAACACCATAGAGGCACCTTCACACAAATGTGCCAATATTCAGGACTGGGTGTACAGGTTCACTCCGTTTCTTTTGCGTCGCATTCTGCGTGTTTCTCTCCGCAGCCTCGCCCGTCCCATGCCACCTCGAGCGCCCTTTGTTGTTCGGCGGGCTCCCCTCCTCAGGGCACTGTCTCGTGTATCTCGTCTGTTTCGCCTCCAGGCCTCTTGTTTTTCAGGGACACGGTACTACCCAGTGAGGGCTTTCGAACGGTGTATGGTATATCACGGTAGCTGTAGAGGTTGCGGAGAGACGAGATGTTACACGTTTCGTGGGCGAGGACACCTTCAGACATGTTTGCGAATGCCTTGGAACCAGGTGTGCGGATTCCCTCCGTGCCTCTTTTGCTGTGTTCTGCTCGCTCTGATCTACTATCTCCCCTTTGGTAGTGTTCCGAACGCCTGTTGGTGTTCGGCGTACCCTTTATTCGTGCCTTACCATCCTCCGGCTTGACCGAGGACAGTCAGGATATTAGAAAAATCAGACGAAAACGAGGCTATCCGGGTCAAATCCGAGGTGCACACAAACTTCAGCAGGATCTTCCTCGAATACTAGTAAGATAGTGCCCTTTAATGCCTATGTCTCTCATGTAGCCATGGGTATGACCATGATAACATTCAATTACTCGGAAAGTTTGTCGAACATCTGTTCAAGCAACGCTCAGCAAACACTTGTGAAATGAACATCAGTGATTAGAAGATTTGATACATCAAGACGTGCGGAGATACGTACTGACGGAACATACATACTTGTGTCACATGCCATGTTGTAATCATCACTTTAGCAATGTTGGTTGAAAATGGTTATCGTTGTGTAGACTACTTCGTGCACGCGTCATCATGGGTAAACGTTTAAACAAGGTATCTACCGTTCGCAACAGCCTTACGTAAAACATTTGGCTATCCACCATATCCGCTTTCGGTGCTTACAATGGTGCCACTACAATCTGTGACTATCACACATGTGAAAGTGAAAAATAAAAATAAAAAGTAAAACATAATGACATTCAGAGTAGTTACCAGCTTATTTAGTCTTTCTTTCCATATTTCAGTCTGCGGATATCGAGCCCTCTTGTGCAGCCAACTTGAATGGATACTTACAGCAGAAGAATCAATCGAGGAAGTCAGGTGGGGCGTCAGTGACATGAACTCAGTCTGACATGTATGTGTCAATGTCCGACAAGTAGGCATTCAGAACTGCAGAAACATGTAAGTAACAATGCGGTGAAGAATACGAGACTCTATGCTCCGAACAGTCAGATAGCTCTGCCCGACACGACGCCGGTACTTGGTTAGATAGAGAAGATGCACAGAATTGATACGCAGATACATTTTGTGTGGTCACAGATATGTAGAAGAGGCGTCCCACCCAACAACACCCATTGAACGTCATCGACACCTGACATACATATGCTTATGGAGGGTGTGTAGGGGCAGCCAATTACGGTGCAGTATAAGAAAATGACAAAGGGGGAGGGGAGGAATATGACATGTTCAAGTGACCTCTGGGAAGGACTCCATGTACCAGACTGTTGACGCACCAGACATAGAGTGCAACGTCCGAGGACATCCATGATGTATGATGCATCAGAGAATGCAGTGCGGCTAGAAGTAAAACTAGACACGACGGCAACACATGCCGAGAGGATATTCAATGCATAGGGTTGCGAACCACGGACTTCTGCAACGTCTTCGACCTCCTCAGGTTCACGACCAACTAAGCCGTTGTTTGGGTCTCGAGCGCGAGACGATGGCGCGTCATTCATGCCTGCACCACGGTCACCCCACCCGGGTGCGCGGAACAGCTGACGGGCCGGTACTATCTCAAACGACAAAAAGTTTTCCCAGACATGGAGTCCGACGGCGGCCAAGAATAATAGAAACACTCATCCTGTATGGTGCACTCAACTAGTTCGAGGATATCACGATTGTGGGTTGGGGGCTATATTTGTATCCGGTACTTTGTTGTCTCGGTTAAAATTTTGGATATGAGTAAGTCCTGCGCCCCCCTGAAACGGCCAGGTGTCTGAGTCACCTTCTCCTAATACGCGACGGAATACAAATACAACACCTTCCATGTTAACTTTGCTGTGGATTATGGTATTCACGTTTCATCTCGGCTGCCGTTTCCTATTGGCATTTTGTTGGTAGGCCTGCTTGAAGCCTGAGGAAGATGCGCAAGCGCAGCAACCTTCGAAGAAGTTGTCCCTTTCCCTCCTCCAATTATTGAGATGGTATTTAACATGTCGCACCCATCCTAGGCCGATCCTTGCAGAGCCGGTTCTCGGTTCCCGGCGACTATAATTTACACGTTCCGAGTGGCTGTGATGTTAGGTAGTGAAGCCTAACGACACTAATACATAGTCTTGATTCCTTGGATGAGGATGGCAACCCCGATCTTCCGTGACAATCGGATCTCCGCTCCTTACCACTCATGGGAAATAGGCGTCGAGCGCGTTGATATTCTAACGAATAGAGGACCTGGCCGGACTCAGACGACGGAAATATGTCAGGGAGCCGGCGATTTAAGTCTGCAGCGGACGCGGGCACCCCATAGGCCGTTGTGCAGTGCGTCGGTATGTTGAGATCGCCGGGCCAAGTGCAGTTCTTGAATCTGATGGTTCCGCGACGGAGGCGCGGGAGAAATCCAGTAAACGTGTGAGCACATGGATGCGGATACTGCTTGTCTATTAGTCTAGAAGTGTGTTCAGGCAGCAGTGGTTGTGAGCGCGCGTTTCGAAACACAATGGAGGATACGTACAGCATCGGAGAACTGGCTATCCTTCATTCTACGTACTGCTTATCAATCGATCTCGCGGATGTGGCACATACCCAACGATATCGTATTGTTTCAGGGTCAATGGGCTGGCGGCTAGTATCGGTGCGGTACTGCAATGCACATGCTCGGGAAAATGCAGTGAGCCACAATTAGAATTGGTGATCTTTGTAGGTGATGACAGTGGGTGACATAATTTGAGCTGGACAGCGCTATGCACCTCTTATAACCTGATAGTAATCACTGTGCCGGGATGCGTTAATAGCTGGTGTTGAGACGACGAGTAGTTGACATTAATTTGCTGGGTAAATCATGCGTGCTCACGGCAGAGTAGCGATCAGTAAGCTATTTCTACCTTCTCTTGAGGGTGTATCTTCAAGTGTCGCCATTCAAGGAACTTTAAGTACAATGCGGGATCGTGAGGCCGCCACTACTAGCATGTGTAATAGTTCTGGGCCACGGAAAGCGGGCATGCTTTATGTTTACAGTACCTGGCTGGCTGTTTCTGCGTCGTAATGCCAAAGCGGTGGGGTTAATTAAAGAAATGAAAAGCAAATTTGGCTTGTGTACTAAAACTATGATAGTTTGCATACTTTTCGGAGGATTACTAATCCTTCTTGAGATCTTGCTGAACCAGAAATATCCGCTCGCCATCCTCCGATATCGTTAACTCTTCTAAACCTTTTGCGCCCTCCAACCCCTGCAAGCCTCGTCCTTTGGCAAGGACAATATAGATTTGCAGTGCATCTCCGACCTAGCGCACCACTACCGTTAGTCAACCGTTTACACTGTCCAACCAAGGAATCAAAGGGATGGTAACTGTGACCTGCCTCGATGTGCCTCTCCGTTGCACTCGTGAATGAATCAATGACGAGTGCGAGCACTACCTTTAGTGGCAAATGTGTCAGGTGAGGCGTTCCTGGCGCAGGCTGTTGGTTCCTGAAGTAGATCCTACTGCCACACGAACAGTATATGGTATGAGCCACCGAACGAATGAGTAACGAATGTCGGACGTACCTGGTTATCCAGGAAAGGCTGTAGCAGGGACTGGACTGGTCCTGCTGCGCGGCAAGTTTCGCGCTCGTAGGACCCGACGAGGTCGAAGGAGTACACTGCACCAGAGCCTACGGATGTGAATGCATTGACCATCTCGAAGCATACGAATAAAACTGAAAATTGACGTCATCCACGTACCGTCCTCCTCGATACCTCCCAGATATTGTACACGTAGTACGGGAAAAACCTACGGGAGTACAGCATCGTCTGGATCAACCGCGCAATCGAACGGAGGGGCATATCCTTTGCGTGCAGCGTGTCGGTACCTACTTCCACCGCGCAGACGCGAACCAAGTGTAAGCTAACAGGAAAAAAGAAATGGTGACGAGAAACACACTTCAAGGCGCTGCTTTACTTTCTTGACGAACATGTTTCTGTCAGCTGCGAAACCATTTACAGCCAACACCGCACGGTCCGTCCTGAATCACAGCGGCAAAGAAGAAACACATGCATGGATGTATCGGTCAAACGCGGACATCGGCAATGAAAGGGAGGTAGGAGCCTCGCACAACCGAAATACCTTGGGAGCAAAGTGGGTCTGAATATTGTATCCCTCGCTCTGGCGAGTGTCACCCGCTACAACACTAAAGTCTGCACCGACGATGGCAAGGATTGTACCGCCATTCTGGGTGCATGGATTGGACAACGACATGTTATGTGTTGTGGGTGATAGATTGTGTCACACTTGGATCGACGCGTGGATAGTAGAAGCCCCTATTACATAAGCACCACAGGAACTCTGTACAATGGCTGTCCTGGGCCTGAAGGATGCACATATTCGGTTATCGGATACCCGGCATATGTCTAGCTGCACTAGACCCCGCTTCGCCGGGGAACACGGTATTATACCCACAAGGGCCCGGAGTCACTAGTCACTACGAGTGCGGCACTACTACTAGGACATGCCACGTGACTCACTGAGCAACCTTTGGCCGGGACTATGACTCCGACAGTCTGCCGTCAGTCGACAAACATCCGAGCCGAGAGCACCATGACTTGAAGGTTCCAGGCATGGCTGAAAGTCCGACTCGGAAGGAGGTTCCTCCTACCTAGCACCGTAATTCACATCAAGTTTAGGTGAGATCAAATGTATATTTGTGTACATATATGATGAGTGCGAATAAGGTTAAAGTATGCTTATCTTGGTACGCAGCATTGGCATACTGCAATTGCGAGCATATGCTGTGAAGGACCTTCACCAGCGCCGGAACTTGATGCTTGAAGGACGCACGTGTGCCTCCCGCGTGGAGGGACCGTCCCATGACGTCTCACAAAGTTTAAACATGTAACGTGGTAGATTGCAAGAGCAGTGCACAAGACTAGCGCGGTAAATGAGACATGAATAGTGGGGTAATTAGTACCGAGAGGCGGAGGTATGTATCCATTTACGCATAATACTTCAAGTTGTCGTTGTTGTTCCAATGATAGAAAATATTTAGTGTCCAGATTACATCGGAAAGGTGAGCACGTAGACATGCACCACTTCATTCATGCATCCCCGAATAGGTACGGCAGGCACGCCACGCATGGTGCTGTCACATTAACGGAAATCAGAGAGGAAAGCTAAGACCGCAATGGAAGGAATAGACATACAACGGAGGTTAGATATACGGGTGGTTCGGTTGACTACCCCAACCACGTAGAGCACGCCAATCGTCACGTTGCGCACTTCATAGCAGACCAAGTGCCCCGCATTGACGACGTCCATCACCATGGGACAAAACTGGTGAAATAACATGAGCACACGAATGTGAATAGAACTAGAGGGGACCCACGAAAAATGCAACGCCACGCAGGAGTAGGTTGACTAGGAGATGGAGAGAAACCGAGATCATATCCATAAAGCCAGAGAATGGACCCTGTGAATTGACCGTGTTCAGCAAAGGGCTTGAAACGGAATTAGATACGGCTCACGTTCCGCATGATGACGAGAAATTCTACTGGCTTTGGATAGGGAAAGGGTTCGCGTATCAGTAGCAAGAGTGTATCGTTTTCAAACGGTATCGAGGTCGCCATGATCGCGCGAAGCACCTACACGGATAAAGTGCGACAAATAGTTGAGAAAGAAGGATGAGTCAGTTGAATCCCTCTCTTAAATATGATTGGGAGTGTGGCTTATGATCGGAAACCGCCTCGGCCAAGCGTGGGTCCACTCCAGACTCTGCACAGCAGTTAAGCACATGGTCGATACACTGGCGCCCACCGCGCATTATTGACGCACAGACACGTAACTGAGAGAAACTGTAAACAAGGTAACCTGTCAAAGGATTTCCTAGGTCTCGGATATCCAGAGGATCGGATCAGGTGGCTTTCGATGTGGAGTACACCGAGAATAGGATACAGCGCCAATGGTAAGCCACAGGTACCAGCAATGATCGAATGAGGCGCCCGGATCAAGCTTGTCGTGAGTGGGCACTCTGAATGTAGGATCTCGTTTAATCAAAACACTGGATGCAGTAAGCAATATCATGATATCGGGCATAGGTGTTGACACTCCGCTAATTATAGCGGGTAGCTCTATGCAGCACTGAGCTCCGGGAAGATGAAAGTGGTGCCGATTTGGGTCAATGAGTGGTAACTATGCTTTTGTGCCATATCGGTAGTAAACGATCCCGACGAGGAGTCGCTACTTCGTGAAACAGAAGGCCGAATACAAGGTGCAGTGGCACGAGTTTCTTGGATTGATTGGGTAAAAATCTACGGCGAACGATTTCCGCAGATAATAAGAGCGTAAGCCGCAGTTGGATGATGGTTAGTGTAGCCGCTAGATCATACTTGGGTTCCGGATCCCATGGCAGTGTTGCATGGGCAAGTAACAATCGCGATCGATTTTGCCAATCGATGGTCCTTCACGAGTGTGCGAGACCTCGGTGGCTGGGAAATGCTGGACTGCAATATCTGACTTACAGAGAGGTCGCCGCCGGCACGGCCACCCTGATATGTATCGCTGGCGAAGAGAGGTGTTTCATGCCCGTAGTGACGAGGAGTTGTCGCACTGGTGTGTGGCTATTGAACATGGTCGAAACTTTGAAATTCAATCGCACCCTGATCATGACGCGGACAAGTTCGAAAAAGCGGTGTGAGAAGCAGATGATTGGTAAAGCAATTGGCCAAAATATTGACAAAAAAAAGAGCCAATTTTAGGCAATTTTCCAAAAGTATCTGTGACTCGCTGCAGAGTTCCGTTCTTATGTCGTCCCCATCCCCGGTCATCATTCTCTTCGCACGCGGTATATTGGCACGTCTCAAACTATGGCCAGCTCTTCGAATCGCTGTCCATAACTCCTGGGGAGGCCCGGAGTCGGCTGAAAAACGACGTTGGCTTGCGGGTGTCATTGTTGATCAGTACGAAGATCACGTCCCACAAACAGATGCACCGTCCACATCGCAATCCGGGCTAGGCCTTGGAACGGCCCCCGATGCTTCTTACGTCGAGGAAATGCTGCTCCAAATCATGTTTGATGAATTCGAGGTCACGCTGGAGGACAATAGCGCATATGACGTTGCGAGGGACATCGTTAGGCTTTGGGAAGACGTGTGCGGCGGTCGAGATACACTTGTGAAGGAGTGGGAAGCCCAAGCAGAGAGGATCAAGGGAAATGTGCCGCGGATGGAGGAGGGTGCACGTAGTGGGAGCGACTGCGAGGATACCGACGATGACGAAGGGGAAGATAGTGATGTCGATATGGAGAGAGGGGAGGGCAATCGTGAAGACGTGCCGCAATTATTGGACCATTCGAGACATCAACCCGAAGTAGACGAAGAAGGGTTCACAACAGTTCGCAGGAAAGGACGAAGATGAATGACCTCATCGATCACCGTGTAGTGGTGAATTTCTCCTCTGTACATTCGTGAATTCTGTGTCCACCAGACCACAAAAACATCGATGCATGCGATCAGCTGTAGACTTGGAATGACATCTGAATTTCTGCTACAGTATTACTAGCGTACAACTCCGAAGTGAGGGGGAAACACCCATGACACTTTGTACGGATGGGTGATATGCATTCTGTGCATCGGTGTTCTTCATGCGGTGCTGTATCGAACGGAAACCTCAGAATTCTTCCCAAAAGATTCGCACAGGCAACCGTCCGTACACACAATTTTTGAATTTGTTCGTGCTCTCGTAGCTTGAGGCAATTCAAACGGAAGGTTCAACGCTGGCGGTACTGTAAATAAGAAGCCAAATGTCCTCGGTCTTGCATTGGATGACGCGTCGCGTGGCTGAGCGCTGAGTCAGCTGTCTTGGTCATTCGCTCGCTAATTTTGTCATCAAATGACCAGCGCCTCTTTTGGTAATCATTTGGGTCGCCGTTCAACTGTTCTGAAGACTGGAGCCTTATAAAAACATCGGGCGTTCACTGACGATCGTTCAATCGTCATTCTCGATGGCAGCCCAGTGTCGCGATTTAGAAGGGTGGCGCGTCCTGTCTGTTCTGCGAGAGTTCGACTTTACGCTTTGCTTCGAAGAAGGCGTCATACTTTCTACTCTTTTGTCTCTTTTCGTCCTTGCGGCAGCCACGAGGGCATGGCACCTGTTCCGTCGATCATCGCGTGACTTATCTCGCAAAAGTCACCTCATCTTGCGCGTGAAAGAGGTGCGTTCCTTTGCCATTGCCTTGCGTTTTTGTTTACTAAAAAAACGGAGTTGTTCAGGTGCTCTTGGCGTTGGCTTTCGGCGTCAGCGTTACTAAACTTGCCCTCGTTCTCGTGCAAAAGAGAGAAGTGGCGGTATTATGGCCTTTTGTCCTAGAACCAATCGCTTTGCTGTTTGCGGTGCTGTTGACGCATTTAAACCATACCCGAACGCGTTCGTCGTCTACCACTCTTCTCTTGTTTTGGCCATGTTACGCGGCCGGAGTCGCAATATGGACAAGGTCATACACGTGGAATGGGTTTTCAGGTCATTCCGTCATCCTTGGCTCTGAGTGGGCCGTCGTGTTGCTGGGCTTTTTATCTCTTGCGTTGGAATCCAAGTCTCCGGATGATGCAGCGTCCAATGTGGCAGAACACCCGACAATCACAGCTAACATATACAGCATATGTTCCTTCTCTTGGCTGACCCCTTTGTTAAGAAAAGGGGTCGATGTTCCTATTACGGAAGACGATCTACCTTGTTTAGCTCCCAGCGACGAGTCCGAGAAACTTGGTGAAAAGCTTCATCGCGCGCTCGGAAAACAGTATGTATTTCATTTTTCCTGTGCATACCCGATCGCCGACCCTGTATCAAGTTCGTCGATTTGGGTAGCGCTGTTTACCACTTATGGTGGTCCCTATCTGCTCGCCGGATGTTTCAAAATCGTCCAGGACAGTCTAGCTTTTGTACAGCCGCAGCTATTGCGTTGGTTCTTGCTATTCATAACCAATTATCAAACTGCAAAAGATTGGAACTTTATCGGGGGACCGAGCGCATTCGAGGGATTTGCAATTGCCTTGATCATGTTCGTGGCTTCTATGATACAGACAGTCATTGTCCACCAGGTACGGAATCTCGCAATCTACATACCAGAGTCGGGCGCAAATGAATACTGGGCTTAGTATTTCCAAATCTGCTTCGAGACTGGCATGCGTGTGCGCGCTGGGCTGGTAACCAACATTTACAAGAAGGCGCTTGTTATCTCTAATGACGAACGTGGTCGCGCCTCAGGCGACATCGTGAATTTGATGTCTGTCGACGCCTCCAGACTCCAAGATCTTTGCACGTACGGACTCATTATTGTGTCTGGGCCATACCAGGTATGAGTGTTTGATGTTTGGATTTCGTGTTGTGACGTGACCTTGGTACAGATCACCCTTGCGTTCATTTCTTTGTACAATCTCCTTGGTTGGTCGGCCTTCACTGGGGTTGGGATCATGATCTTTTCTATCCCTTTGAATACTATCATTGCGCGATACCTCAAGACGATGCAAGAAACACAGATGAAAAATCGTGACCGTCGCACTCGCCTTATGAGTGAGCTTCTTGCTAACATTAAGAGGTAATGCATTCGGTCTTCCATGTCGGATACCGATGAGACTCATTCAGACACTAGCATCAAATTGTATGCGTGGGAGTACGCGTTCATGCGTCGCATTTTACATGTACGGAATGATTTAGAACTCAAGATGTTGAAGAAGATAGGAATCGCTACTGTAAGTGATGGTGGCTTTCGAGGTCAGTGACCTGATCGTGTTTCAGGCTATGAATAATACCCTGTGGGGAGGAATACCACGTATGTCGTTTTCTCTCAGCCTTGGGAAGTTGCCAGATTGATGTGCCCACAGTACTCGTTGCCTTCAGTTCTTTGGCTGTTGCTTCGATATTCTCGGATAAGCCACTTACTGCTGACGTTATTTTCCCCGCAATCTCGTTGTTTATGCTGCTTCAATTCCCACTTGCTATGGTACGTGTTCGGCACCGACTTGGGTTCATGGAGACTCATGTTTGTCGGTAGTTCAGCCAAGTTACCTCTAGCGTCATCGAGGCGATGGTCTCTGTCAACCGACTGTCCAGCTTTTTGCATGCAGAGGAACTTCAACAGGACGCAACTACAAGGGTGGAGAAAAGCTCCCTATCAAGCGGTGAGGTAGTTTTGTCGATCAAGGGTGGAGAGTTTGCATGGACGAAGAACGATGTACAATCTGTCCTTGAGGATATTAACTTGACGGTACGCAAGGGCGAGCTAGTTGGCGTGCTTGGTCGTGTGGGTGCCGGTAAGGTGGGTGTGATTTTCGATTTGTTGGTTTGGTTTCTTTGTTGACTCGCCATGCAGAGTAGTCTGCTATCCGCCATCATCGGTGATATGAGAAAGATAGAGGGAGAAGTGACGTTATACGGCAGTGTATCGTATGCTGCTCAGAATGCTTGGTATGCTTTCTGAAGTCTTCGAACATCCGGTACTGATGTGAGGGGTGACAGGATTATGTCGGCTACTGTTCGAGACAATATCTTATTCTCCCATGAATATGATGAAGTCTTCTACAATCTTGTTGTTGAAGGTAGGGTTTTCGGTGTCACCCTCTTTTTCATCTAATTCACGCATTCGACAGCTTGCGCCTTGAAACCGGACTTAGTACTTCTTCCACAGGGTGATCTAACCGAGGTCGGCGAAAAGGGTAAGTCCGTTGTGGGTGGCTTTTAGGAGTTGAAGCTCAGTCTTATTGACAGGAATCACCGTAAGTTATTTGAGCTGGCGAAATAATGAAGGACTCACTCGGTTGATTAGTTGAGTGGTGGCCAGCGTGCTCGGGTCGCCCTCGCACGGGCTGTTTACGCACGGGCGGATCTGTATGTTTACCGAACGTGTTTTTGAACGCCTTGTTAACTATTTGCCAGGGTGCTACTCGATGACGTTCTGGCTGCTGTCGATGCTCATGTCGCACGACACGTGTTTGGTACGTTATGGCCTCGAGATGCTTGTCTGTTGCCTGATACACCTCGCTCAGATAATGTGATTGGCCCTCAAGGCCTTCTCGCTACAAAGGCTAGAATCTTGCTTACCAATAGCGTCGCATACCTGAAGTACTTTGACGAACTTGTATACCTTCGCCGCGGCATCATTCTAGAACAGGGCCCCTTCTCTGTGCTCATGGCAAACCCAGATAGTGAAGTACGGAAGCTGGTGTAAGTACCCTTTGGTTCAATCACCGGGGTTGCGCCTGTCTGATTATCAATTAGTCAAAACTATGCAGCCAACGGTTCGTCTTCTGGTACGACGACACCTCATGCGAGCGGCTTCGCGACGCCGGCATTGAGTGAGGGTGATGATCCAACTTTATTGGCAGAGGCAGAAGTCGTGACGGAGAAGGTTATCGTCCGTCGACAGAGTTACACCAGGGCTTTGGTTGCTCCTATTCCTTCTGTTCGTGAGCCGTCTTCTACTGGTCTCTCCAAGGAGCACAGTGAACAGGGTCGTGTCAAGAAAGAGGTTTATCTCCAGTACATGCAAGCAGCATCCAAGACTGGGTTTTTCTTTTTGGTTCTGGCGATTACTCTCCAACAAGTGGTATCGGTGATGTCGACGTACATGCTCCGCTTATGGGGAGAGCACAATCGCCAGTTGGGAAAGAACCTTGGACTACGTGATCCTTATTTGCTAGGGTATGGGCTTGCCAACCTCGCAAGTATCGGCTTGGGTGCGACGGGTGCACTGCTTCTTTGGGTGTACTGTACACTGCGAAGTTCCAAGTACCTTCATGATTCGGTAGGTGCTTCGTGAAGGCTACTTCATGGAGGTCGTTGCTAACGGAGGATGGGGCAGATGTTGGACTCCGTTCTTCATGCACCGTTGTCGTTCTTTGATTTGACACCTATTGGAAGGTGCGTCTTCCTCATGAGCTTGGGATACAGCACTCAACATGTAACAGGATAATGAATCTATTCTCTCGGGACATTTATGTCGTCGACCAGGTTCTTGGGAGAGTGAGTTTCAGCATACGACAGATGATAATCATACTTACGTGGCGTCTCAGGTGATCATGAATCTCCTCAGGACCTCAGCCATTTGCATTTCTATTATCCTTGTCATCACGTTTAGTTTCCCGCCTTTCATGTTAGTTGTGCTCCCTCTGACATGGTTCTATGTTCGGGTGACCCTGTATGTGTTGATAAATCCGCTTATGGTTTTGTGGCTCATGTTTCTCTGGCAGCTATTATCTGGCTACCTCACGTGAGCTGAAACGCCTTGACGCAGTTTCCCGCTCCCCAATCTTTGCGTGGTTTTCGGAATCACTTGCCGGTCTCTCTACGATTCGCGCGTTTAACCACCAGCCTATTTTCATTGCTAACAATGCCCGTCGTCTTGACCGCAACCAGATGTGCTACCTTCCGAGTGTGTCCATCAACCGCTGGCTAGCTGTCCGCCTTGAGTTTGTTGGGTCCGTTATCATTCTCTGTGCTGCTCTGTTCGCTGTGATGGCTGTGATGAAGAGCAATGTTGACGCGGGGCTCGTTGGGTTGGTGTTGTCCTATGCGTTGAACACTACGGGTGCCCTGGTGGGTGGTTGAGGCTGACCAGTGATATGTGAATTTCGCTGATCTAGTATACTTGATAGAATTGGCTTGTCCGTTCGGCGAGTGAGGTGGAGCAAAATGTGGTTAGCGTCGAACGTATTATCCACTACGCGAAGGGTCTACCGTCGGAGGCTCCATTTGAGTTACTAGACAAGAAACCACCTTGCGGATGGCCCGCTGCCGGCAAGGTAGAGTTCTGGTAAGAGGGTTCTTCTTTCCGGCAATACTTCGTTGACCCGGTGACAAGTGAATATTCGACGAGGTATCGTCCCGAGCTGGACTTCGTTTTGAAGGACATATCAATCACAATTGTGCGCAACTGCTTCTTGACGTGATTGGCCGTTAACAATATCTTGTAGAATCCTAGCGAAAAGATTGGAATTTGTGGCAGGACAGGGGCTGGGAAATCTTCCGTGAGTGAATGCTTGAGTGTGAAAGAGGGCATGGTTATGACAGTGTTCTTTGCTAGCTCCTCCTTGCGTTATTCCGCATTATTGAACCCTGCAGTGGTAAAATTCTGATCGATGGCGTTGATATTACCAAGATTGGCTTGCATGACTGTAGGTTTTTTTCGCTGTGTTAAATCATATTACTAACTGAAATGGTATGAATCGATAGTGCGTTCCTTCCGTCGCGATTGTTCCTCAAAGTCCTGACCTTGTTTGAGGGCACTCTTCGCGAGAACATAGATCCTTTGGGTGAACACCAAGACGTTGACATCTGGACTGCATTACAACATGTATATCTGACGTCTGTGTCTGTGTGTGCATCGCTCACGTTTTCTTGACAGGTGCACCTCAAGTCCTATGTGGAGGATCTGCCCGAAGGTCTTGATTCACCCGTACAGGAGGGGGGTGCGTCGCTCTCCGCTGGACAAAGGCAGCTGTTATGTTTTGCGAGGGCACTCTTGTACAAGGTATGTGCTGCCGTTCATGCGTCTTACCCCCCGAATATCGAGTATGAACTTCAACAGTCGAAAATACTGGTTCTTGACGAAGCTACATCGGCTGTCGATCTTGATACCGACTCTGAGATTCAAGACATCATTCGAGGTCCCACGTTCAATGATGTTACCATCTTAACTATTGCGTAAGTGAATCTGATTAGATATGCTCGTGTATTGACAGGGATTTGTAAAAGGCACCGGCTGAACACAATCATCGATTATGACCGCATATTGGTTCTTGCGGAGGGTTCTGTGAGTGACACAATCTCTGGTCTATTTTTCGGTGGTTGATCTTGGGGTATTGTGACAGGTTGCTGAGTTTGACTCTCCAACAATACTATTGGCTGACAAGTCATCTCATTTCTATGTGATGGCGCATGAGGCTGGGCTCATTCAGGATGAGGGACCTGAGAGGGTCGAAACTTGAACGATTGTAGTGCTGGCTGTGAGAAAAAATGGATGGGTGGTGTATTGAGATAGATGCAATGGTGTGACATGGGTATAATTCTGTGTAGTTGTTTTGCTCCTAGAAGATAATAGTATATTGCTGCTGGAAAGCTGCTCACACTGGTGGTTCAATGTTATCAATGCTCTAAAGAGGATTCCAAATCGAAAACAGCATTTTCTCTTATGATTCAAATTATGAGACTCTAGTAAATCTTGATTTTGAACAAGTGCATAATTCAATATTATGCAATCCATTCTGAGATTATCAAAATATAAGATTATCTGCATCATCAAAAGGTGTTACCAAAGTAAATAACTAGAAATCAGTTCTAAGATGCTCAGGCCATACTTAGACAACATTCTGATCCACTCCAGGGATAAAGAGTCTCACAAGCAGCATGTCCAGGAGGTACTCCATTGGCTTCATGGCCTGTATGTGAAGCCAGAGAAATGTGAGTTCTGCTCAGACTCAGTTGAGTACCTTTGATCCCATCTCTCCCTGGCCAGCCTCACAATGTCCCAGAAAAGGGTCCAAACCATCTGCAATTGGCCTGAGCCTCACATGGTTAATGACATACAATCTTTCCTCAGCTTCACTGATTTCTACTGCCAGTTCATCTCTAACTACTCAGACATTGTCATACCACTGACCTGGCTTACCAATAAGGGTGCCCCTAGGGACTTCTCTGAGGAGTGCTGCTAGTCATTCAATAACCTCAAAGCTGCCTTCACTACCATGCCAGTCTTAACCCATTTCACTCTGGAGGCCCCCATTATAGTTGAGACTGATGCATCTGGCTATCACCGCAAGCATTGTAAAGTGTCTTGTGAAAAGACATGAAAAATTCAAAAAAGAGATACCATTTTATTATCAGTGTTTTTGAAGAAAAAATACAAGGATAATGCTTTATATTCTTTGTCTGATGTGCCCATAAACATTTCTTTATGATATTACTGATGTTGTTCAGTTTGAACATTTTGACTAAATTTCTTAGATTTTCTTTTACAGAACATTTAGAGAAATACACAGTTTATTTCTTTCATTTTGTTTGCATGTTTGCAGAGATACATACTTTGTAACACCTCAGCCAGAATATCAACTTAGTATTACCCTCAACTCTGTATTAACCTCTGGGTTTACCTAATAGCTAAGGCTGAGCCTTAGGCTATCTCTGACCCCTGTCCTGGACCTCTCCCTGGCTTGCATAAGGGTGCAGCACATAAGCTGAGACCAAGGGAGGAAGATCCAACCCTGGACCAGCTTCCCTCTGTGTGCACTCTGAGACTGGTCAGTTTCCCATGATCCTGGTCTTATTCCTGTGCTCCCAGCCTTGATTCCAGACCTCCAGACTTGGCCCCTGACTTCCAGCCTTGACTCCAGTCAACTGGACTTAGCCCCTGTCACCTGGACTTGAAGCCTGGTCACTCAAGGGTAAACCTGTACTTGACAGGAACTGTGCCAATTGCTTGGAGTTGAGGATTTTGGCCACCTCAAACTCTAGTTCACCATCAACTTCAACTGGTGGGGGTGGTGGCTGAGTCTGGTTCAGGATAGTATTAGGGAGGGCTGGCTTGAGTTGGGAGACATGGAAGGCCAGGTGTACTGCATGCATTGAGTCCAGCAGGTGCAGTGTGAATGAGTGGGTACTGGCCTGAGCTATGACCAGGTACAGCTCAAGGATCTTCTCTGAGAGCTTCTTGGAGGGCTGGGTTGACTGGAGGTACTTGGCTTTAACATATACCTGGTCACTGACCTTGAAGTCTGGGGCCAGCATGCATTTGGCATTGGCCAGCCCTTGGTAGTGCTGTTGTGTGAGGGTCATCACCTCATGTAGGTACTGGTGCAGTGAGTCCAGGTCAATTGCATAATCATGAGCCTGGGTGAAGGTAAGATCACACTCTGGGTACACCAAGATGTTAGGGTGGTAGCCCTTATTAGCAAAGAATGGTGAAACACCAGTAGTGGCACTAGGGGCATTGTTGTAAGCAAACTCAGCCAGGGGTAAAAGGTCAGCCCAGTTATCCTGCTGGTAGTTGCAGTATACTTGGAGATACTGCTCTAGGGTTTGGTTAGTCCTTTTGGTCTGGCCATTGCCCTCAGGGTGGTAGTCCAAGGTGAAGTGTAAGCACATGTCCAGGGCCTTACCAAGTGACCAGAAGAAGTGCCCAAGCCTCAGTCTGAGGTCACATGGGCTGGCACTCCATGCTTTGAAAAGACATGGAGTAGGAATAGTTTGGCAAGTTCTGGGGCTGTGATAGTGTTGTGGGTTGGGATGAAGATGGCCTGCTTAGAAAGCTGATCAACTACTACAAGGATAGCTGTGAAGCCAGATGAGGCCAGAAGTTGTTCAATGAAATCCATAGAGATGGAATTCCATGGCTTTTCCAGCACCAGAAGTTGTTTGAGGAGGCCATAAGGCTGGCAGTGGGGAACCTTAGCCTGAGCACAGGCCATGCAAGATGGACGTAGTCCTTGACAAAAGTCCTGAGGCTGGGCCAGGTATACTCATGCTGGATGAGCTCTAGGGTGCAGTTCTGGCTGAAGTGGCTGGACAGGTGGTGGTCATGCTTGAGGTGCAAGACCCTAAGTTGAAGGTCATTTGAGTCCAGCATGTAGATCCTTCCATCAAGCTGAAGGAAACTGGTGTCATCTACTGACCACTGGGGATCAGACATGTCAGACAGGCAGATTTGTGAGACTGGGTCATCCAGCAGTGCAGTCAGGATATCATTATGTAGATTTTTAACATCCATTAAGGCAACTGCTCATAAGACTGGGTATTTGAGGTATGTAGCATGAAGGGAGACCACTAGTTGCTCCTGGGTGAAGACCAGTGTAGGATAAGTCCAAGTAGCTGTATAATATGAGCTAGATGGCTTAGGTAACAACAATAAAATGAAGGGAACAAATTGCTCATCCCAAGGGATCCTGGACTGCTGAGACTAGAAGGTGAGACCCAGCACTTTGTAGTGGGAGTGATTCATGACATGCACAGCAGTGGTCTGCAGAGTAGTACTGGTGATGTGAGTGGTATACATAGTTCATGTGTGGCAGTATGTGAGACATGCAGTGTAGACAAAGTGAAAAAGAAACTCATGGTGACCTTCCAAGTGCCAAAAAGGTATCATTCTGTACCTAAGTACAGGGCTTTATAGTCTGGGCAAACCCAGAACCTAAGTAAGACAGGGTACAAGTAAAGGAAAGCTGTGTGACAGCATGTACACACAAGACAGGCTGGAACAGAGGCCAAGGGTATACTACAAGTGCTAAAGGAATAGAGACTGTGATAAGAGAAAGAGTCTGAGGGAAAAGAAGTGACTGGAGCACAGCAGCTGCAGGTATAACATTGTGTGAGAGGGAACGAGGGCATGGGAAGGTAGTGAGGTAGGCAGGAAGGCAGTATGCAAGCAGTGGTGAATGTGAGAGGTCTGGGAATGTAATGACAGTCATAGAATGGTAGATGATAGGGGCTTATGCATCCAAGGAATGTGGATTCCTTATACTGGTCTTAGGCTCTGCAGGTTCACTCAGGCATAGCTGCTATCCCCCTCTTTGGGGTAGATGTCCCATTGTCTAGTTAGGGCATTGGGCTTAGCCCTGAGCTTACCAGGCCTGAATCTAATGACCATATAGAATTGAGACAGGAATTCTGACCAGCAAGCTTGGTGGCAGGTGAGTACTTTAGAAGTAGAGAAGTACTTGAGGTTCTTGTGGTTGGTGACAATGTTGACTGGTGAGGCTGAGCCCTCAAGGTAGTGGCACCAGGTCCAGAATGCTTCAAAAATAGCAAGCAATTCCTTAGTTGTAGGTATCATAATTAAACTCTGGGGCCATCAGAGTCTGGGAGTAGAAGGTGACTAGGTGTACCTGGCCATTGCTGCAGGTGATAGAGAGGATTCCAGCAATGGCATAGTCTGATGCATTGGTCTCAGTGGTGATGGGGACCCCAGGAATGAAATGGGTTAAGACTGGCATGGTTGTGAAGGTGGCCTTGAGGTTATTGAATGACCAGTGGCACTCCTCAGAGAAGTTCCAAGGGGTGCCTTTGCAAGTAAGCTGGCTCAATGGTATGTCAATGTCTGAGTAGTTGAAGATGAGCTGGTGGTAGAAATTAGCAAAGCCAAGGAAAGATTGTATGTCCTTGACCTTCTGAGGCTTGGGCCAGTCACAGATGGTCTGGACCTTTTCCTTTGACATAGTGAGGCTGGCAGGGGAAAGATGGAAGCCAAGGTATTCCACTGAGTCTGAGTGGAACTCACATTTTTCCAGCTTCGCATAAAGGCCATGAAGCTGAAGCCAGTGAAGCACCTCTTGGACATGCTGTCTATGAGACTCCATGTCTCTGAAGTAGATCAAAATGTCATCTAAGTAGATGACCACACATACATCCAACATGTCAGTGAAGATTGTGTTGACAAAGCATTGGAAGGCAACTAGGGCATTGGTGAGGCTGAAGGGCATCACTAACCACTCATAGGACCCATACCAAGTCCAAAATGCAGTCTTCCATTCATCACCCAGGGCAATCCAGATGAGGTGGTAGGCATGCCAAAGATCAATCTTTGTATAGATCTTGGCTTGGCTTGGTGAGTCCAAGAGGTCAGAGATGAGTGGTAGTGGGTAATGGTCTTCCTTAGTGATTTTGTTGAAGGCCACAGAAGTCTACACAAAGCCAGAGGGAGCCATCCTTCTTCTTGACAAATAGGACTGGTGCAGCATAGGGGGAGGAAGTCAGCTAAATGAAGCTGGTGGTGAGGTTTTTGTCAATGAAAGTCTGGAGAGCCTGGAGCTCAACCAGAGACAGCAAGTAGATGGTGCCAAGAGGCAGGGTTGTTCCCTCTTTAAGCTCTATCTTCAGGTCATACTCCTAGTGTGGTGGGAGTGCCAAGGCCTTGACCTTGCTGAATACATCAGTGAAGTCATGATACTCCTCTGGGACATTGGGTAAGGCTGGAGGAGGGGAAGGTGAGTCCAAGGGGCAGAGCTGAAGTTGGAATTGGACAGACCCTTCAAGTTTACAGGCATGCTTGAAGGCAGCTGCATTGATCAGGGAGATATGAGGGGCCTTCAGGGGAGTACAAGTTGGGGAGTTGGAGACTGGTACAGATGGTGCAAGGCCAGGTTGGTCATTAGGACTGGAGTCAGGGAGGCCAGTGGAGACCAGTCTTACAGAGGGTGTCAATGGGGTTAGCATGCCTTGTGTATGAATCTGGAAAGTAATACTGCTCAATACCCAGTCAATCAACAGATTGTATTGGGTGAGCCAGCCATGCCTGAGAACTACTTTACACTCAGAGTCTAATAGGGCAAGATACAGGGTTACCAGTGTGAGTCAAAGTGGTGGTTCAGTGGTGGAAACCAACCAAAACCAACACAAAAGACAATAAAAGTGAGTGGTGGTGTGCCTATGTGGTACCTAGATGGTAGAACCTTTGATTTGGGAGGGTTTTTGCAAGCTACAACACTCAAAGATGAGTGCTGAGGGTTGGGTGCTCCTGATGAAGAAGGAGCAGGAATATGATAGAATGTGATGGGGTAGACTGCTGTCAGCCTACAGAAGGATGGATGATGACTTAATTCAATGTCCTAAGCTGCACTGAGCTCAGGGAGGACTTGGAGCAAAGCTGATTGATGATAGATGATGAGTAGTCAATAGTTAGACCCTCAATAAAGTCTCAACTATTGAAGCTGATGAATGATTTACAGAGTGATGATAAAATGCAAGCAAGAGGGGCTCTCTGACATCTTCTTATTCAGCTATCTAAGTACAGTGATTTATATACAGTACAGGGATGTTGCCTATGGAAAACAAGGTGCAAACACTTGGTAAGTGATTGGTAACTGATGAGTAAGGAATGTAAGTGATGGGTAATCATCTTAGAAAGCATTGGTAAGCATTGGTAAGGATAAGTAAGCCAAAAAAGCAAAGAATCAGTAAGCAAGGTCAAAAGATTGGTAAGTATTGGCAATAGGTGAGTCAAGGACAGTCAGAATGTCAAAGTATGAGTCAAGTAATGTCAGGAACTGGGAACGCACACTGGAATTGCATTAGGGGGAGGCTGTGCATGTCACATCTTGAAGAGATTGCCTCTAGGCCAAGGTGGGATGACAGAGAGGCAGTGCTGATCTGATGCTGATATAATACATCCAAAAGTGGACAGGGTGAGTCAGATGTCAACAGGGGTCAAGCTTTGGGGGTCTGTGGGGTGACAGGAGCATAGGGGATTGCAACTTTCCCCCCCAAACCATCCTCTCAGTGAAGCAGATAAAAACTTCATGAATGAGGCTCTGTTGGAAGAGAGGATGAAGGGGGAGTGTCTTCTGCTGTATCTTGCAATAAGGAGGCAAGATGTGCATCATACTTGTCATGGATGTGATCAGGGAGAGTGGAGAAGAGTAGATTATACTGTAGCTGTTGCAATTTTGGAAGAATGATGGACAAGACTGGTATGAAGATGTTGCAGGGAGCAGGGAGGAAGGATCCATATGCTTCTTGGACTGGAGAGACTGAAATGACCACATAAGACATTTCCAAGTGAATGACAGACCTGAGGTGACCAAAGAATGTCCTCCTAGAGGTCATACTGACAAAAAGAATGTGCTGTCTGAGCTGGATGGGTTGAGAGGGGGCAGACAAGGATGGGATGTACCAGGACACTTCAGGACAGAAGCTGGTAGGAACTCCTGGCAGATATATTTAGCCATGGTCCCTAGCAAAGGGGACAAGTGAAATGATTGATGTGGAGGCAGCCATATCAGAGGAATTAGTGAAATGAGCATCTTGTGGAGGGAGTGCTGTAGAAATGTGTGAAGTGCACAGATCCTCTCCAATTTTGGAAGGTAGGGTTGTGCAGCTGAGCACTACAAGTGAGTGTGGGAATGATTTTGGTATCTGCAGAAATGGTGGAGATATGATATGTTGAAAACTGGAATGCTGTACATGGGTGCTTAAGAATTTTTATTGGTGCTTAACTTGCTTCCTTCCTTTTTCTTTGGCATTGACAACTTGTTCTTGTGCAAGGGATGACTGCTGACATTTCTAGCTGTCCTTCTTCACATGAGGGCTATGGTCTTCATCTCCATTCATCAGCTGTATCCATGTCCACCTCACAAAACACCTTTGGTGTGTGACACCAGATCATGGGGATCTTTACAGGGGGGGGAAATAGCATTCATCTAGGTGTCCATACTCTGTGATGTACCAAGAAAATGCAGGCTCATGGACAGAAATGAGCCAGGTTACAAGTTTGAGTTATTCTGGCCAAAGCCAGTTGGCCAGGTCAAGATCAAGCTCTGTGGCCCACTCAGCAGTGAAGTGAATGCTTGGAGTGAAGTTTGGTGGGTGCATTGGTAGCAGTTAGAGGCCAGTGAGTGGATCACCAGGCAGACTGCACATGATGTGGAATTCTTCCACCATCAGGGCAGGTGCTGTCCAAACCTTCTTGGCAACCAGCTTGTATATGAGGGTGCCAACTGCAGGGTCTAGTTGGAAAACATCATTAAAGGCAGCTATAGCAGAGGGGATTAGTATTGTCTGGGTGGAGGAGAGGAAAGTGAAAGCAGGTGAGGGTATTCTGGCAGGTATATTCCACAGCATGAATGCCATGGACAAGCTGAAGTTCATAGAGGTGAAGGCTAGGGAAGATACTGTGGGACTGAGGAATGGGTAGCAGCAGCTGAACAGGAAACAGGACATTTTAGTAGGCTCCCCCTGACTGTTTGGTGGATCATCAAGATTCAAAAACCCCACTCAACAATAGTCTGGTGACTATGGCAGTGTTTGCCACACTTACAGCATGGGCAGCCCTTGCACCACAGGCATGTGGGTAGAATGTATTTGCAGCTGTCATTTGGGTCACAGAGAGTGATCTGCTGTCCACCATCAGGATAGTCATTTGTTACTGCACTCATGAGGCAGATGAACAGATGACCAAGAAGCATGTCAAAGTTGGCATGTTCAATTACCTGGACCTGGAGCATGACTGGCCCAGCCCTGAAGTTGAGTTTCAGGTTCTCTAGAATGCCTACAGTAGTGTCTTTAGACATGTTAGCAGAGGTCATAGTCATGAGATGGTTGCTGCACAACAGGAGCCCAATCTTTTCTTAGATGTGCCTGGGCATGGTGATGATTTCTGAACTGTCATCCAGTGGTTGGGGTCTGTGCAGAAGCTGCAGCCAGGTCTGCATTGTTGTGACAGGCACTGTGTTTGGAAGTTGCATTCTTGCTTGATAACAGTTCCAGCAGGTGGTGCTTGTGGGAGGTAAGCAGGTGAGGGAGTTGGAGCTGGTGAGGCTGCAGCTGCTAAGGTTAGTACTGTTCTATGGAGAGTGGGTCTGGTTAAGAGGAACTTGGCAGCTGGCAATTCTCAGTAGTGAAGGCACATAGCATACAGAGAATATAGTCTATGTGTGGGAATGCAGTTAACTTGTCACTTCTCTCCTTTGCATTCCCACTTGTGCCTCAAGGCTCAGCTGAGCTGCACACTAGTCTCTCTTTTCTTCACTATGCCCAAACCAGCTAACAACCCTCATTTAGCAGTCCAACCAGATTTCTCTTCTGAGAAATATCATCAAGCCTGAGAATGCCTCATAAATGACAACATCAACCACAATGCAGCAGCAGCCTAGCTAGCCCTCTACTGGGTGCTAAACAACAACTTAGAAAAAGAGGAATGGGATCATCAAGTCCTCCTAGAACAACAAGAAGCTGTGGAAAAGGCAAGGCTAGAAGAAGAAGAGTGAGAGAGGCAACAGACCAAGCATGAGAGAGTACAAGAGCAGGCACTACAAGAAGAGAAGAAGAAGTAGTGTTGCAAATATGCCACAGTTGCCCAAGATGCCATAGTCCCTGCAGATTCCATCATCATCCCTTCCCAGGTCGCAGCACAAAGACTCCATAAAGCAGATTTCATTGAGCTCTACTATTTCACAAATAAAGGCCTACACAATGCAGAGCTGACTGTCTGCTCAACAGATGACAACACCCTAACCCTCCTCCAGACAGGAGAAGGCCTACACTCCTTCATACCTCTAGCATCAGCCTGAGAAAAAGGCATGGTAACCAAAGACAAGGACCTTACCTGGGAAGAATTCTCAGAAGCCACACACAGGCTAGCCAATACTATGAAAGAGAACAACTGGGAAGCTGACAACATCAGCAATCATGTCAAATTCTGGCTGGCACTTGAAAACCACAGACAGTTCCTATGACCCCCCTCCAGATGAAAATAATCATCTGAAAGAAAATGGACCTCCTGAGGTCCAAAAGGATAAGAAAAAGAAACAGAAAGAGGATCTAACCTCAAGGATCACAGTGCAGGGTGCTAATCAAGAAGTGGGCACTTCAGGTAACCAATTTTCATAAGCATTTAGGCTGAAGTTTTTCTACAAATCATCCAAGCTAAAAGCCACTCAGACCAGGTCATCCCAGGGACATCTGGCCATGTCCCAGGGCTATTTGCAGTGTGCAGGACCTGGGATGTCCCATAATATATTTTGGGCTGTCCCATGGCTGCCTTAGGTGTCAGGGGTCCTCAGCTGCAAAAGTTCAGCTCATATTCACACTGAAATCCCACTTCAGACCAAGAAACCATAACTGTCAGGATCATCCAGGATGATGAGAATACCTGGAAAAGTAGGGGGCTATTTATGTGGCAACCATTGACTTTCCAAAACCATTTGGTACACTTATTATGCACAGATTTGAAGTGGGAAGTCAGTGTGATTGTGAGGTGTCATCTCCAGAATCATACAATACTTATGGAAGTGAGCCTTGCATCACTGTGATAAATTTTAATGGATTTATCACTGTCCCATGAGTAAGTTCCATTGCTTATAGAAGGAGTACACATTAATAAGATCATACTAAATGCATTCAATGAGGATAAGTGGATGACCTTCCCAGCCAAGGAATAGATTGTAGCACAATACATGACACTATTGAGGGGCACAAGCATGTGAGAACCTGTCATAGTCATGCCTCAACCCCAGTTGGACTTGGTCTCACACTTGTTCAGTCCAGCCTTGGCTTCACCAGTCCCTTACCCCAGATGTCCTAGCATGGTGAACACTGCTTTGCAGTGCATGTCACTTCAATTAAGTTCTGCCTGGCCTTGTCCCTGGTCCACCCTGTCCCAGTCTCTGTTACCTTAGTCATACATTACTAATACTTGTCTTACCAATCATCTTAGCAATCTTTGCGAGACCAGCATTACTGGTCTCTGTACTATAGTTGTCTCTAGTATATAAGCTCATAGATACGTGGCCTGTACCCCTCAGTCTGAAATCAACAAAGCTACTCTGATAACCCCATCTCAGTCTTGGACTCGGACTGAGACCCATGCAAGGGAATAGTGCTGTAATCTCAGTTGCTAAGTCCAATCAGTCCACCCCCCTGTATCTTTGACCCTCCTCCTGATCCTGACCCCTCGGCCTCATGCCCTCTTCAGTCTCTGGTCTGGTAATGATAACAACAACACCAGCCCCCCATCCAAGCTGGCTTTGTCAAAGTCAGGCAACAGCTCTAGCAACTTGTCCAAGCCTGGGTCCAGCAAACTCAGTAAGGATGGGAAGCTCACCCCAGAAGAATGCAAGCATCACATAGACAGAAACCTCGGCATGTTCTGTGGAGGGTCTGGTCATTTCGCTGATAAATTCCCCAAGAAAGCCAGAGGAGCCAAGGCTCGCACTGTGGCCACCACTGAAGCTGCACTGGCCTCGGGCTCAGGTCCTAACCCCAAGACAAAAAAATAGATAGCAGCTCCCAGGACTCTGCACAATCCAGGAGCTGCATTGACTCCAGTTGTGCAAACTTGGAGGCTTGTCTCAACACATCCACTCTTTCCAGTCCAAACTCTTTAGCCCCCTATGTCACATTAGAAAACCAAGAATTACCTTGGCTTCGTACTTTAGTGGACTCCAGTTCCACCCATTGTTTTATAGATAATCAATTTGTTAATCAACACTTGTTTACCCTGTACTTGGTCTCCCCAATCTGACTCTGGCTCTTTGATGGAATGTCCACCTTTACTGTAGCCCAAGTGGTAGATGTCAATATCCATTTCACATCTGGTGATGTCACCCCAGTAACCCTGTTTTTAGCCCTGTTGGATTCTGAGTGTAGGATAGTTCTCAGACATGACTGGCTCACCTGCTACAATCCATTGATTGATTGGGTATTGGGCAGTCTAACATTCCAGACTCCTGCACAAGGAATGCCAACCCTGTTGACACCCCCTGTAAGCCCAGTCTCCACTGGCCTCCCTGACTCTGGTCCTAGTGACCAACCTGGCCTTGTGCCATCTGTACCAGCCTCCGACTCCCTGGCTCACACCCCCCTGAAGGCCCCTCTCATTTCCCTAATCAATGCAGCCACCTTTGTGCATGCCTGCAAACTTGAAGGGTCTGTCCAGTTCCAACTTCAGCTCTGCCCCTCAGACTCAGCTCAAGCCTGATCAGCCTTGGCTTCCTCTCCTCTGGCCTTACCCAATGTACTGGAAGAGTACCATGATTTTGCTGATGTCTTCAGTAAAGCCAAGGCTTCAGCACTCCTGCCTCACTAGGAGTATGACCTGAAGATAGAGCTCAAGGAAGGAACAACCCCTGCCATTAGGCACCATCTACTCACTGTCCCAGGTTGAGCTCCAAGCTCTCTGGACTTTCATTGATGAAAACCTCACCACCAGTTTCATTCGCCTGACCTCTTCCCCCTATGCTGTGCTGGTCCTCTTTGTTAAGAAGAAGGATGGATCCCTCTGGCTCTGCATAGACTTCTGTGGCCTGAACAAAATCACTAAGAAAGACCAATAACCACTACCACTCATCTTCAACCTCTTAGACTCACCAAGCTGAGCCAAGATCCTATACCAAGATTGATCTCCAGCATGCCTACCATCTCATCTGGATTGCCCTGGGTGATGAATGGAAGACTGCATTCTGGACTTGGTATGGTTCCTACAAGTGGTTAGTGATACCCTTTGGCCTCACCAATGTCCCAGCCACTTTCCAATGCTTCGTGAATACCATCTTTGCAGACATGTTGGATGTCTGCATAGTTGTCTACCTAGATGACATCCTAATCTACTCTGGAGATAAGGAGTCCCATAAGCAGCATGTCTGAGAGGTACTCCACCAGCTTCAGTTTCACTGGCCTCTATGCAAAGCCAGAGAAATGTGAGTTCCACTTGGACTTGGTCGAATATCTTGGCTTCCACCTCTCCCCTGCTGGCCTCATGATGTCCAAGGAAAAGGTCCAGACCATCTGTGACTGGCCCAAGCCTCACAAGGTCAAGGACATACAATCTTTCCTTGGCTTTGCCAACTTTTACTGCCACTTTATATTCAACTACTCAGACATTGTCATACCACTGACTCAGGGTTACCTGCAAGGGTGCTCCTTGGAACTTCTCCAAGGAGTGCCACTGGTCATTCAATAACCTTAAGGTTCACCTTCACCACCATGCCAGTCCTTAACTCATTTCATCCCTGGGGCTCCCATCACTGTTGAGACTGATGCATTGGACTATGTCCATGGCCAGCATTCTGTCTATCACTTGCAGCGACAGCCAGATACATCCGGTTGCCTTCTACTCCCAGACTCTGACCACCCCAGAGTTGAATTATGATACTCACAACAAGGAATTGCTTGCTATTTTTGAAGCATTCTGGACCTGGCACCATTACCTTGAGGGTTCAGCCTCACTGGTTGACATTGTCACCAACCACAAGAACCTCAAGTACTTCTTTACCTCTAAAGTACTCACCCACTGCCAAGCTTGCTGGTTGGAATTCCTGTCTCAGTTCAATATGATCATCAGATTCAGGCCTGGTAAGCTCAGGGCTAAGCCCAATGCCCTAACTAGACAATGGGATGTCTACCCCAAAGAGGGGAATAGTGGCTATGCCTGAGTGAACCTGCAGAACCTGAGACCAGTCTTCACCCAGGAGCAACTAGCAGTCTCCCTCTGCACTACTTATCTCAAGTACCCAGTCTTACAAGCAGTCACACTAATGGACATAGAGAAACTACACAATGATATCCTGACCACACTGCCAGATGACCTAGGCTCACAAATCTGCCTGTCCAACATGTCTGATCTCTGGTGGTCAGTAGATGACACTGACTTCCTTTGGCTTGATGGAAGGATCTATGTGCTGGACTCAAATGACCTCTGCCTTAGGGTCTTGCAGCTTAAGCATGACCACCCTCTGTCTGGCCACTTCAGCCAAAACTGAACTCTAGAGCTCATCCAGTGTGAGTATACCTGGCCCAGCCTCAGGACCTTTGTCAAAGACCACATCTGGTCTTGCATGACCTGCACTTGGGCTAAGGTCCCCTGCAATTGGCCTTATGGCCTCCTCAAACAACTCCCAGTGCCAGAGAAGCCATGGAATTCCATCTTGATGGATTTTATTGAGCAACTCCCAGCCTCATCTGGCTTCACAGCCATCCTCATAGTAGTTGACTGGCTTTCCAAGCAGGCCATCTTCATCCCCACCCATGACACCATCATGGCCCCAGAACTCACCAAACTCTTCCTACTCCATGTCTTTTCAAAGCACAGAGTGCCAGCCCATGTAACCTCAGATCAAGGCTTGGAGTTTGTATCCCATTTCTTCCAGTCACTTGGTAAGGCCTTGGATATGCACTTGCACTTCACTTCAGGCTACCACCCTGAAGGTGATGGCCAGACCGAAAGGACCAACCAGACTCTTGAACAATACCTCCAAGTGTACTGCAACTACCAGCAGGACAACTGGGCCAACCTCTTACCTTTGGCTGAGTTCACTTATAATAATGCCCCTAGTGCTACTACTGGTGTCTCACCATTCTTCACTAATAAGGGCTACCACCCTAACATCTCAGTGTACCCTGAGCACAATCTTACCTCCACTCAGGCTTGCAATTATGCAGTCAACTTAGACTCACTGCACCAGTACCTATGTGAGGAGATGACCCTTGCACAACAGCACTATCAAGGACTGGCTGATGCTAAATGCATGCCAGCCCTGGACTTCAAGGTCAGTGACCAAGTGTATGTCAAAGC